ACAAGAGTTTTTCATGAAAGGCCCTAAATATCTCGAAACTCCGTTCATGAATTGGAATCTGAATTTCAAGGTATCAGAGAGGGAGTGAAATGAGAGCACGTAACGGTGGACTAAGTCCATTCAGTTTAGCATTCTTATTAAATGAAAACAAAAAAAATCTGTGGTTCTTGGTCGTGATGTTAAAGCCATATTTCATGGTTTAAATGACAAGGCACACAATAACCTGAACGACAGTACAAATATATGGTTGTAAAGTATAATGAAGTGTATTCCATGAAAATACATCCAAATGCAAAAAGTACGGAGGACGAAATCATAAATGATTTTGTGCACTGCAAATTCCCTTTAACTCCTTATCTAGAGTTCTTTGTCATATGTACATGTAAGATGGAAGCGTATATGAATGAATGTCCTCTGCCTGAGGCCAGGCGTGGGGCATTCTGGGATACAGTAGCTGGAATACCCCTGCTGAAGGTTTTGGTACAAAGCACCGGTAGGGAGTTTGGGAGGCTTGCCAAAAACTTGGAAGAAATTATGCAAATCTACAACAGCGTATTTGCATTATTATAAAGGCAGATACGCGCCTGGAGGCCCGAACGTTATTACTGCGCCATTAAAAATGAAAAATAACCATCTTAAATTTGCTGCTATTTCTTGAGAAGAAAAGAAGGGGTCATTTCCTCAACACTTCGTATTTGTCTGTGTTGATTTGTCTAGGTCCCAAGTGTTTGATGTTTAAAGTTTTGGACATTCGAAAAAATGATCTACAGAAGAATACATGTATTTCGGATTTCAGCAAGACAAATCAAAGATGCTCGACGTTATATGGATCGATTGCAAATAATTTCTCAATAATGAATTCCAATTGCGCTTTTCTTTAAGTCGCTGCCCATGCAAAGCTGGACCAGATGAGCTTAACTTTTCCTCGAATACACCCAAATACATATATATGATGCCACTCAATATTTTTTCAAACCTGATAGTTCATAATGACATAGCAGGACAAATGACACACAAAATAACACTTAATACCTGGTTCTTTATTTAAATTGTCGTTTCATATAGTTGTTCAATGGATGATATAATGGTTATTCATTGCAGTCTACATAAGTAGTAAGTAATAAGAGTTAGTCCCCTTAGATATATATACTTTTAAGATTTATATCTTAAATAATGTCGTGTGTGAGCACGGTGGCCAGTCCAACTTCTGAGAAATTATTTGAATAGAAGACATTTTCATTGAGAGATCCAGGGTATATACTTCCCAATCTGATTTACCAGAGTTACTTCCCTTCCTTTCACTTTTACAATACTCTTCGACTGATCCAAAGACGCACTTTATGATTTACAAATTATGAAATCTTATGAAATGAAAACTTATGAAATCGACTGACTTATGTATGTTATAAGTGTAAAAGGAAAGAGCGAATGCGATGCGGAATATAACAGTGAGAGACGAGAACCATATGTGTGACGGATGAATGACCTCCTGCGTAGGGACAATTAATGTACAGAGGCTGACCCCAGGGCCCCAACCCTGGCAGCTCTCTCTGAGATATTTATTTATTTATTTTTTTTTTTTTAAAAAGAAAGAATTAGTTCACTTAAAAAAAAAAGAAATCGACTGACTTGCAATTTTCTATTCTTTAGTTATCCCTTTTGAGAAAACAGATCTAAACAAATATTTCTGTTCGATTACTGACGTTGATAACAAAAGTATTCGAAGTTCCATCATTCCGTACAGGACCACGAAGTGTATGCAGTGAACTCTTATAGGTTTGGAAACTAGATACAATTCTCTGGTTAAAATACGCGTTTCGTACTGTTTACAAGACACTAACATTATTAAAAGAGTGATTAATACGCAGGTATCATGACATGATCTATGGGTACAGAGAGCGAAAGGTACCCCTGGAGTATCTATTTTCTTATATAATCAACTTAATTCTTGATATCATAAGTTAAATGAAAAATCCTAGTTTTGACTTTTAGAAAATGCGTGATTTTCTGATATCAGAAGATGGTTCGCTCGATATCACATTGAATTCGCGATTTTATCATTTTACGTAAGAAAATCAAGATACGTTAATGTACATCAAGATACGTTAATGTACATCAAGATACGTTAATGTACATCAAGATACATTAATGTACTAGTAACAGAAAATCAGACTGACATCAAAACGTCGATTTTTTTATCAAATAATATTGAATTTCCTATATCTCTTCTGTATACATTATGTGATATACAATATATATGTCAAGAATTATTTTTTTTATAATATTTAAAAAAAAATTATGTACATCAAGATACATTACATAAATATCAGACAGCATACACACTCGTTTTCACACATATATTAATATACATATATAAGGATGTGTAACATACATCATCATTATCATCATCGTCATCATCATCACCATCACCATTTAATTTCATTCATTCCATCTACTTCCCTATAACTTACAGCTTCAATATAGTTGAATTAAAATGTTCTTTAAAATGTTTTTTTTTTAAATGTAATTTCAAACGTGTACATGTATAGGATAATGTCATCATCATCACCATCATTAAAAATACCTTCATAACTTACAGCTTCAATAAAATGTAATTTTTTTTTTTAATAAACTTCATTTTCGGAATACAAGACAAGACTGTAACACTTGTACTTCTAAATATTATCTTCACTTTATACAATTTTATTCCTTATGTTATGTGTAAATTTTCGTTTCCTATGAATCGGAAGTTAAACTTCCTGATCTACAAACATATTCACTAACTGGAAGTGTGGATGCGTGGATATGATATGCATGTATATATATCTCAATTACTATGAGACTTTTTTTAGATCACGTGACTTCGATTAACCAGGATAAAAGTCGTCTCGAGGACTATAGCAATCCGAGGGTTTTCATGGATTTCTCCATGGCAAAAATTGAAAGCAATGCTGATTTCGCAGTCATACAACTTGAATAATACATAATCAAGTTATATTTTATGGACAGTCATAGTTAACTCCCTTTAATATTTGACTCAATATTAAGTGTATGCTTCGGAATAAATGAGTGTGGTTCATCTCTTGTAAATCTACACGAGTAGTAAACACCATGTAGAATTTTTTTATCTTTAATCTGTAAATGGTGTATTTCACAACATGAAATATGTGACGGATTTTTCAATAAATGCCAAAGCTGAATAGTTCTGTCCTGCACTTTTATATACCAGCTACATTTATATCCGTGAGACAAATGATTATAAATTGTTATTAATGACAAATAACCTGTCTATTATGTATAAAACTGACCAGTACGGCCTTTGTTAGTCCTACCTTTGCTACGGTGAATTGCTGACTAGGTCTGACAGATCATTGTATATCCCTCGGCAAGGAACTTTACTCTTGCTGATCAACCCCACTTGCCCAGGATGGGCTTATAACACAAGATATGCCCAAGGTATTACGATTTCTTTAATTGATTTACTTTGGTATTTAAAAGTAACACCCTATACACTTGCGGATGTTTATATACATTTAGGACAAATACATTGCTTTGTACGAGATTCAGCTTTTTAAAAATTCTTCATATAATTTGGTCGTCAATTTTCTCCACTAATTCTTATTTACGTTGCTTGTCTTTATTTGATAAGGATTCTTACACGTGTGTTTGCATATGAAGCGTGGCTCTTTGATAAAAGTCATGTCATGTTTTAGTTGAAAGAATTAACACCCACATCGTGAGCATTATTAAAATCAGGTTTGAATTTTAAAATGTATTTCCTTATTCTCTAATGCTGTAGTCCTTATCCATTACATACATACGTAAGGGATTAATGTTTCGGATACGTGACACAAAGGTGTTTCTGTACAATAGATTATACCAAGGCCACTACCGTAATTCACGTAATGATCACTGAGATAATTTTTTTGTCCGGTATTTGTCTATCCCACTCTCAATGCAAGCGTTATCCTTGGTTAAATAGACTGTATATCAAGCCAGAATAAAACGCCCACCCGAATTTTTCTTACTGTTAAGAAACTTTAAAAAAGGAAAAAATATTATTTCTTTTTGTATATAATAAGGGATAGACAAAAGACTAAAACAGGTTATACCACCACCCGCTCCCAAATTTGTGTGTGTGGTTTTGTTTTCATTTGTGTCAGGTTTATCCAGTGTCACGTACGCAGTGTGTGGGTGAGCACATGCAGAATCCTCGGAGTCCTGTACCAAGGCTGGCTTGACCGGTGTTTAAACAAGATTAGCTATTATCGATGTATATAAAGGTATATACAAATACACACTCACAGGAATGGCATGACACTGTCACAACTATGGATAATGGCATGCTAAAAATCCACCCACACGAACACATCATTTGTCAGAGTGTATTTGTTTACTGGGTTTAGAGTAGGCCTATTGAAGATGAAGTCACTTGTCAATTATCATGAAATATTATAGGCTACAGTCACATGTAAATAAAATTGTAATCAATCGGCTTCATACTATTAGTTAATATCGAGTTAAGTGTTACATGACTACATTTTACTAAATAACTACGATATTTTACTCAAAATATATGTAGATGACCGAATAAAAAGTAAATAATTTTATTTTTCTCATCGTCACTTAGATTAATACAAATCTATTAAAATTAACAGATATGACGTAGTTTACTAAGTATAATGTAACTGAACAGATGTTGTTTGACGAATCTTGATGTAGATTAATCAACAGGTGTTTGCCTGGCATTCAGCCCGTCGAATGCAGTGCCAGTCATGGCAAGTAAACCTCAAAACAAACAATTCTGAATTACAAACTTTCTCCATTTATCATTGTTTTCACAAGCCCATGTTGTGTCTGCCAATTCGTTTATGTTGATTTTCTTTAGGGTCACACAGTAGAAGAAGTACGGTAAAACTCAAACGTACACGCGACTCGCAATACACAAGCCTTTCCCTGATTCTGACCAGATGCATGTCCATTTCCGGTGACGTCACTCCTAGTCAGTCGGAATCGAAAAATCTACACACCATATCAAAATGGCAAGTGCAGTTTCGGAAAATGTGGAGACATGGAAGGCAAAGCTGGACAAAATTCTCCATGAGAAAAATTTCGCAACCGACACGTTAGAAAAAATTGAACAGAAGACTGGAGTTAGGCGTTTATATATCGCATTGGGTAAGCAAGCAACAGACCGTAGGATTAGTAATGGGATGGTAAACAGCTGGTAATGATTGCAAGTTCTTCCAACCTGTATGCAAACGAATACAAGTGTGAACGCTTCAACGATTAATTGGTCAAATAAGTATTCTATTTGGGCAGAAATAAGTGAACATTCATTTTTCGTCAATATGATACAGTATATATAGCACTCTAAAATTTCCAATCACGTTTTCCATGCATGTTATTTTGTAGTAAGCGAAACTGGACACATTCTCCGGATCACCTTTTTATGTGCGTGTATAAATTCAGTACATGTGATTGTGTAGATCTCTCAATATATCCATATATGATGTAAATAACAAAAATGACCTATTACGTATTGTGACAAGGATTTTTTCGTGTGCAAACACCATTTAAACTTCTCTCATTCTCTGATCAATTGATGATGACGCTTCTCAAAATATTTCAAATTTGCACGAGAAAGTTTGATGTTAAAGGTGATTGGTGTTTCTAAGCAATATGATGTTTGGGGCATGTCCTGTTTAATGTTAATGCTATAGCTATAAGAAATAACTAAAAATCAGTGAATGGTATTGAGATTTACATGATGTATGGGATGGTAAGTTACAGAAATTCTTCCAGAATTGTCTGTCGATGGCTGTGAAGAAGTTTCAAAGTATAGGCCACCTTACTATTCTGACAGTATAGTGACATTGCTAATGGGAATTTCCCTTTAGCTAAGTGGTATAGGGTATCAGTCTAGGAAGCAAGAGGTTACTTGTTTAAAGTACTACTGTTGCTGTGAAGATGTTGATGAAATGTTGAAGTTAATCTTCAATTTTCTTTTTATATACAGTAAACACATATAATTATTAAAACATGTCAGTGAAACGTTCCATGATGAATGTACTCTTGACTTTAGTCTGTGGCTTAACTGAGTTGAAGCAGGAACCATGGTCATACAGTTACCTTTGGTCAGCTTTCTGAAGTGCTTCTCACCTCTCTTCCTGTCTGTTAGAAGTAATCGTCTACTGCATAAGTTGTATACATTTATCTTAAGACGATAATAGAATCACTTCACATTAAAGATACCATAATACACATACACGCATGCACTGGTAAATATGAGTAGCTGTTAAATATAAGTAGTAAGTTAGACTGACCATATTTAATATCTGATTATTGACCTCGTGTGTTATCTGATTATTGACCATGCATAATATCTGACAACTGACAATGTGTAATATCTGACAGCAGACCTTTTGTAATATCTGACAACTGACCATATGTAATATCTGACAACTGACCATATGTAAATGTCTGATGATTGACCACCAGCCATAACTGAGGGAATGTACTCTTGTGCATTTTAAAATTTACGTTGTTTTGGTCGGCATGATCTACTCAGTATTATAACACAGGAAGACTGTCCTCTTGAACATGGATTCGAGGAGACACACAGACAACATATGCCACTGATTTCATGTTAGATTTCACACATAGATCTTCCCAAACTTCCATAACATCTAATTTAAAAGCTCTACAGAAGTTAGATTTTTCTATGAACTTGTAAACAGTATCAAGGAAAGGTCTATTTTCATTTTTTAACCATTTTATTATATCCCATCAGTACAGATTTGGTGCTTTGAAGCATTGACATCAGTTAACCACAGATCAACTTGGCAGAGCTTTCTGTTTTGACTCATATGAATTGGTCAGTCTCCTTTAGGTTCCAGATATAAAGACCTTGATTCATTTTAAATATAATCATGAAAATGCAATAATTCATGATGAACAGTGGTGAATTGATTTACACAATTTCATGATCATGAAATTATGGTCATGTAAAATCCTTGATGATCATATTATTGTGTTGGTTTATTATTATACATTGTACTACTGTGTATACCAGATATACATTGTACCACAGTGTATGCCAGATGTATTGCGTGACAATTTCTCCCGGGGAAAGCACAAAACAGGAAAATCTCGTACACAGCAGTGTTGTGACAATGAGTTACACTGCTCGTCATACCATAAAGTTGCGATGACTATATAAGGTCACAGGTTGCCAGACATTTTGGTGTCAATATTTGCACTATAGAACATCTTGTGAGACATCTTAGGGAAACTGGGTGGGTTCCTGACAGACCTAGGTCTGGATGTCTGTATGTGACACCACAATGCCTGGACAAGTTTAATGGTGTCGCACATCTGCACAATCAGCACCTTACTGCCAATGAATCTGCCCTTCATACCATAGGTACTCATAACCATCCCATCCATGGAAAACCTGTAAGGAAATTCGTTCAGGAAGTTGGTATGTGGGAACATCACCCATTTTAGGTCTGCCCCTTACTGCTACTAGTTGCAGTGTCGTATGGCTTGGATGGCAGCACATGCCCCCAGAATATTCCCATTGAGGCAATGGAGGTGGGCCTTGTTTGTTGATGAGACCCAGTTCACCCTGTTTTGAGCAGACATTCAACATTGTGTATACCAACATCGTGGTAAATGTTTTGCTGACTGATGCGTAGTAGAGACATATTGGTTTTTGGGGTGAATCTGTTATGATGTGGTGAGGAATCTCACATAGAGTTAAATCACCACTGGTTGTGGTATAGAGGTGAGATCCTCCGACCCCTTTTTGTCCCATTATTGCAGCAAAACAATCTCACATTCCAGCATCTGGGCTGTGGAGAGAGCAAATGGGGGGCATACCCGGTATTGACTAGCCAGCTCCAACAATCAGGCCATTTCGATTTCAGATTGTAGTGTTCTCTTTCCATTCCCTTTTAATAACACTTAAATCACTTACAAGATACAAATGGTTGATTTTGCAGTTTGTTCTGTATGGATTAACCTTCATTCTTACTTAGAAATATTGAATATTTACTTGACGTCTTGCCTAGAATCACCATAATTATTATGGTAACCCTGCATTTCTTTTTATAATAAGTAACCATTGTACCACAGTGTAAACTGGATATATTATACCACTGTGTGTGTATCAGATATACATTGTACCACAGTGTATACCAGACATATTATACCACTGTGTGTATCAGATATACATTGTACCACAGTGTATACCAGACATATTATACCACTGTGTGTATCAGATATACATTGTACCACTGTGTGTATCAGATATACATTGTACCACTGTGTGTAACAGATATACATTGTACCACAGTGTATACCAGACATATTATACCACTGTGTGTATCAGATATACATTGTACCACTGTGTGTAACAGATATACATTGTACCACTGTGTGTATCAGATATACATTGTACCACTGTGTGTAACAGATATACATTGTACCACAGTGTATACCAGACATATTATACCACTGTGTGTATCAGATATACATTGTACCACTGTGTAACAGATATACATTGTACCACTGTGTGTATCAGATATACATTGTACCACTGTGTGTAACAGATATACATTGTACCACTGTGTGTAACAGATATACATTGTACCACTGTGTGTATCAGATATACATTGTACCACAGTGTATACCAGACATGTTATACCACTGTGTGTATCAGATATACATTGTACCACTGTGTGTATCAGATATATGTTGTACCACTGTGTGTATCAGATATACGTTGTACCATTGTGTGTAACATATATACATTGTACCACTGTGTGTATCAGATATACATTGTACCACTGTGTGTAACAGATATACATTGTACCACAGTGTATACCAGACATATTATACCACTGTGTGTATCAGATATACATTGTACCACTGTGTAACAGATATACATTGTACCACTGTGTGTATCAGATATACATTGTACCACTGTGTGTAACAGATATACTTGTACCACTGTGTGTAACAGATATACATTGTACCACTGTGTGTATCAGATATACATTGTACCACAGTGTATACCAGACATGTTATACCACTGTGTGTATCAGATATACATTGTACCACTGTGTGTATCAGATATATGTTGTACCACTGTGTGTATCAGATATACGTTGTACCATTGTGTGTAACAGATATACATTGTACCACTGTGTGTATCAGATATACATTGTACCACTGTGTGTATCAGATATATGTTGTACCATTGTGTGTATCAGATATACGTTGTACCATTGTGTGTAACAGATATACATTGTACCACTGTGTGTATCAGATATACATTGTACCACTGTGTGTATCAGATATACATTGTACCACTGTGTGTATCAGATATATGTTGTACCACTGTGTGTATCAGATATATGTTGTACCACTGTGTGTAACAGATATACATTGTACCACTGTGTGTATCAGATATACGTTGTACCACTGTGTGTATCAGATATATGTTGTACCACTGTGTGTATCAGATATACGTTGTACCACTGTGTGTAACAGATATACGTTGCACCACTGTGTGTAACAGATATACGTTGCACCACTGTGTGTATCAGATATATGTTGTACCACTGTGTGTATCAGATATACGTTGCACCACTGTGTATATCAGATATACGTTGTACCACTGTGTGTAACAGATATACATTGTACCACTGTGTGTATCAGATATACATTGTACCACTGTGTGTATCAGATATATGTTGTACCACTGTGTGTATCAGATATACCTTGCACCACTGTGTGTAACAGATATACGTTGCACCACTGTGTGTAACAGATATACGTTGCACCACTGTGTGTATCAGATATACGTTGTACCACTGTGTGTATCAGATATACGTTGCACCACTGTGTGTAACAGATATACGTTGCACCACTGTGTGTATCAGATATACGTTGTACCACTGTGTGTATCAGATATATGTTATACCACAGTGAACAAAATGTATACCAGAATGAGATACATTCACTTGATTACATTGGTAATGATAAAGAGGTTAGAACTATTTTATCAGTTCCATAATTGAAGTTAAAGACATTAAGTATGAAGCTTTATACATTTTGTATATCATACTTGTGATACTGTAATGTAAGTTGTGGTGGTTTTAATTTTACAGGTCTACTAGCATTTCTCGGACTGTACCTGATGATTGGATATGGAGCCCAGTTTGTTTGTAACTTTGTCGGATTCCTGTATCCTGCATATGCATCGTAAGTATATGGAGTATTATCTATATCCTACCTTTCTAAAATATCTACCAATATATCTAACTGCATATAAGTAACATATATGTTATACCCACTGAGATAAGCCTCGATGAAAATGAGTTTTGGGACTCTGGTATATGAGACTTGGACTAATACTTTTCCTACAGGACTCGCTCAAATTTCAAGAACCAAGTATATCTATTAGTTATGGAACTCATCAGAATTGCAAAGGTATTCTTTACTTACGTGAAAAATTGTTTTACAAAAGATTGATACAACTTAACTATTTATTTCTTGTGTCAGCTATATTACATTATCACATCCCCAATGACAGTTACCATTTGGCTTCTACAATATATATGATGATATCGCACAGAGAAAATGTAATGTCCATTGTACCTAATTATAAAACAGTATGAAATTTCTTATTATACAAATAGTTAAAAATCATTTATGACTGTTCAGACATTATAATTAACTTTCAATCCTTAGTTACGTTAATTTTTGTAGACTTGTTGGAAGTGAATCCAGCACCTTTTTGCAGACATATTGGAAGGGAGTCCACTTTCTTTTTGTAGGCGTACTTGAAGTTAGTCCTGCACCTTTTTTTCTAGAATTTTAATGAGTCCCACTACTTTCGAGTTATAGTGAGTTTTCATACATCTCTGTAACTTAGATCTATCCCATAAAAAAACTATGAGTCTATGACTCGGATATCTAAGTCCCAAAAACCGCTGTAGTTATTGCACGTCTTGTATGTAACATGAACTGTAAACATTAGTTTCCTGTGTTTTTCCTAAATATGTATGTATATCAGTAATGTCCGCCTGCTCATAATATTTTCTTTATTTCAACCTACCAGACCAGGAAATTTGTCCGATAGATATTGGTATATGTGTATCATGATTATAACAATTGGTGTGACCATGACTGATATGATGTCTTGATTTTAAACCATATTGCGATGGTTACCGTACTGATCATAACAGTTATGTGTGTATCCGAGTCCATTTTAATACCAGTTTGCCAAGGACATAATCAAATGTTTTAGGTACACCAGAAAATATCCTAGTAGGTGAAAGAATTGTCCACTTTTTGTTGGTGTCAAAAGTAGATGTGCCTTCCTGTATAAAAACGATAATGAAGGGGTCAGTTTCAGTTTCTAAACGTCAAGAATTGGCCCCCTCCAGAATGATCCACCCATATTTATTCAGTGGAGTAGAATCTCTAGGAAATGATAAAAGATTATGCAATAAGGTGACTCATATCTATTTGTGTTGAGAACCATTATGCTATAAATGTTGTATTATTTTGTAATAAACCCCAGGATGGATACAGTGATTGGTTTCACACTTACTACAGAACTGTGTATTCATTGCCAGAAGTCTACTTATGTATAAAGTCAAGCTTGACCTTTGATCTTAGACCTTTGGCACTTGTTATTAAGAAAGATACCTACACATCAGTTCATGTACATTGCCGTAGAACAAAAGAAATTCAGCTAATTGTTGATGTTCAATACTTCTGAAGACAAAGTACAGACACATGTATACCTGTTTTGATGTTTATTGTATTGAGACCTGCTAACTTCTCATGTTTCTGATTATTCTTCCAAGCCTTTCTCGACATGTTACTTTTATGGCTCGCTTATCTATTGTATTAGATACTTTTTACACCTGAATTATTCATTGCGAATGGCGACACTTTTCTGTCTCCAGACAAACAACTTGTGATGATGGTTAGTGAACCTAACAGACATACATGTGTATATTACAGGCAGTATAAATAGTATACAATACAATGTGTATCTATGGTGTTGCTGAAGCTTGACACTGTAATTAAAAAAAAAATCTTGTTTTCACTGTACACCTTGTATTTAATTTCACGCATATTTTAAATGGAGATTAAATGATTATGTGTAGACAGAAAAAGTACAAAAAAGAATGTTGATGTACTTCCAATGTGATCTCTTGAGGTATCTTAACAGCTGTCAGGGGCGTGGGTTGAGAGAGCTGGTGAGAATATAGGGTACTGGAACCTAGTGGTGTGGGAAGATGGAGCCTTATGGTATGGGGAGAATGGAGTAATAGAGCTCATGATGTGGAGGGAAATGGGTAATGGAACCTATGGTACAGGGAGAAGATTTTTCAATGAGGTAATTGAGCTCATTGTGTAGGGAGAATGGAGAAATGGAGCTTAATGTGTAAGGAGAATGGAGTAATGGAGCTTATTGTGTAGGGAAGATGGGGTAATGGAGCTTATTGTGTAGGGAAGATGGGGTAATGGAGCTTATTGTGTAGGGGGAATGGAGCTTATTGTGTAGGGAGAATGGGGTAATGGAGCTTATTGTTTAGGGAGAATGGGGTAATGGAGCTTATTGTTTAGGGAGAATGGGGTAATGGAGCTTATTGTTTAGGGAGAATGGGGTAATGGAGCTTAATGTGTAGGGAGAATGGAGCTTATTGTGTAGGGAGAATGGAGTAATGGAGCTCATTGTGTTGGGAGAATGGAGTAATGGAGGTTATTGTGTATGGAGAATGGAGTAATGGAGGTTATTGTGTTGGGAGAATGAGGTAATGGAGCTCAGTGTGTTGGGAGAATGGGGTAATGAAGCTCATAGTGTGTAGTGTGTTTTAGCCCTCTTGGTACATTGGATGATAAAAAACAATGTTGATGTATAAATGCGGTACTGGGTGGGGTTGATATTTGATCAACAATGCTTTATGTTGTGTCACAACTAACAATGTCCTATTTTTACAAACTGATTCATTCTCGTTCTGTGCATTTAGATGTGGTGTACAGTACAACAAAAGGTGTCAAAGGGTTTGGTACAAAATTAGCAGAATCAGTGCTAGGGGAATGTGTCCGTCATGTGATGTCCTGTAATGTCTGGAATGGTGTCATCAAATATTTATAATACAACATATAGATTTCTCTCGGATTCGTACGTTACTAGTCCTGGAATGAAACTTAACATAACAGAGAATTCAAATGTCTAGCTGTGAATAGTGGATTCAGGAAAGATAAGGGAAATGTTAATGTCATGTTTTATGCCCAGTTGTGGTATACTTTACAATGGCCGACATCACCTCATTAACACACTACTCTTTGGTCTAGATAAAAGCTTTTGCTATTTATAACTTAATAAGTTCTGCTTTTAATTCTGTGTCAGTAAGTGTGCTAGTTTATTTACATGGAAGTTCTTGTCAGGTTAATGATGTTAAGGAGGGAGAAAACATGGTCTGTGTACAGTATGTTATTGGATTATAGATCCCATGGTCGGTATCAGAGTGGTAACAGGCCTCAGCTGGGACACTCATTTTGGGTTGATTATAAAGTACCTAGCTGAAGCAATATTTTAATGTTTTGATGTCCATTTCAAATTTAAGCAGGTTAATGATATAAAAAAAGATAGTATCAACATCCTTATATGTGTGATACATGTACCATGTGTATACAAACAAATGATCAGTCACCAGGAACTCAGTATGCCGTGGGTAAAGTAACTCACATGTACAGAACGTAAATACGTTTTTTTATTTATTATACATAAAATACACCTATGTATGTATGTATATATATATGTGCATATCTATTTAAATATTTAATATTTATGGAAAGATTTATAGCTTTGTGGAGTCAGAGGACAAGCTTACTTTGACTGACATATGTAAATACCATATTTATACTATCATAAACCCAGGGGGCCATATATAAATACCATATTTATACTATCATAAACCCAGGAGTCATATGTAAAATACCATATTTATACTATCATAAACCTAGGGGGCTTATGTAAATACCATATTTAAACAGTCATAAATCCAGGGTGCCATATATATACACTATATTTATACTTTCATAAAACCTGGAGCCATATGTAAATACCATATTATATACCGCCATATTCCCAAGGGCCATATAGAGGGGGACTGGTGTTGCACTTACAAGCACTTGTCTCATTTTTTAACGGATTATATTTTTGCGATCTTGTTAATATAGCTAGAAAAAGTGAGAATGTCCTCCTCATGAAATTAACCAGCTATACAATTTGGTAAAATCTTGAAAATTTGGGAACAATCTGAAAGGGAATTAAAAACAAGTTATTGCATTTTTTTGTTTATATAGTAAAAGATGTAATCTATGTTGATTTCAGAATCAAAGCCATCGAGAGCCATAGCAAGGACGATGATACAAAATGGCTGACATACTGGGTAGTCTATGCTCTTTTCTCCCTTGTTGAATTTTTCGCTGATATCTTCCTTTTCTGGATTCCATTCTACTGGTTCCTAAAGGTAAGTTTGTATCAGGGCAGTGCTGGTTCCTTCGGATTAACATCAAGTTACACTTTGTTCCTAGCTACACACTGTACATGTTGGTTCATTGATATTTCTAGCAAACCCTTTTTGTAAATCAAAATCTTTGTATATTTATATCTGCATGTGTATATACATGTTTGATGTTGGTTTCTTATTATCATGGTAATGGTAAATTTGACTTAACACTATTGTTTTGCTGGTATTCTTTACGATCAGGATGAGACATACAGTTTGTAATTTTTGGGGGTTTCAGACAGAAACCATTAATCTCTGCCATATCATCTGCATTTTAATTTTATTGCCTTGACTTAATAGTTCAATATGAGTTCTTCTTGAGGGTGCATTGTCTAAAAAATTTCAAAAAATGTATTGATATTTAATTACCTTTTGGGTAAATATGAGTGAAAATCATGCTTTTAAAAAGTAAGACTGCTTTATACAAAATCAAGCTTGTGATTCCAATGAAAGTGTCACACATGAAATAAAAATTTTCTGTGGTTGAATTTTAAATCTTATTTCAGTGCTGTTTCCTTGGGTACTGCATGGCCCCTACAGCATGGAATGGTTCACACACCATCTACAATCGCCTGATCCGTCCGGTTGTACTGAAATATCAGGATAGGATCGACACAGCCCTTGATAAGGCTTCTGATGCCATCCATGAGGGTGAGTCTTGTCCTCAGAATATCTCCTTTTTAAGTTATGAGTTATTTTACTTGCTTACAAAAAGAATATATATGCGTGTTGTATATCTGTATCTATCTGTCTGTATCTATATATAAATTTACTTACACTGGTACCAATTAGTGCTAATGATGCATATTTTACAAAGCTTATTATAAGATATATTTAAATGCATTAACAACAGTATTTTGGAGAATTTTGATTCTGAATATTATGAATTTACTTAGCATGAAGAGCTTATGTCAGGGTGCAATTTTTGTCATCAGCTTTTTTTTTTCCTTTTTTTTTTGTTTATCTCACATGTTCATATATAAATGTGCTTACACATCTGCAGAAACAGTTTAAGAACTTTTACAAAGTCACACAGGTCCACAAAGAAACTGATTAATTAATTCCTGTATTGATATTTCATATTATGAAAAAGAATAAATATGTTCATTAAAAATTCCATAACAGTTTTATTTGGTCTTTGATGTACCAGAGTTAAAATTTTTCCTTATTAAGGAATGTGCTAAAATATTACAAAACAACATTGTTTATTTTTAAATTGTATGTGAAATTATACAACTACAGTAGAATTAAAAGTGAATCGCCAAGTTTCTTTAAAAATCTGGCCTTGAACATTCAGAAAACACATGAAAGGGTGGTTGTTTGTAAAAATGGGGCTTTTTGGAAGGAGGGTAGTTTTGGAACATCAGGCTTTAGGTCATATGAATTGTTACACCCAATTGCTTCTATTTACCATTGCTAACATTACTTGGTAAAAGATGCTTCAGTTCATTTGTAGGCAATTCCTTCAGGCCTGTAGTGTTGGTGTTAGAGTTGGTTATCTACTGACTGATGTCCTGAATATCTTAATTATGTAATTTAGACAAATAATACAATGTGGAATCTGTCTAAACTAGAACCCTTTGGGAGCTAATGCAATCAAATAATTTGGCCAGTTTGTAGGGAGTCCATTGTTGTAATAGTGATGGAATTGGGACTTAATTATTTGACCGGATTAGACAGATATCAGGATTGCACAGAGTCCCGATAAAGACATAGTCCATTGTGCATACAAAAAGAATGATGATATATTATGACATACTTAGATATTAATATTTGCGCTATATTTAGACAAACCAAATATTTAGAAGAAATAATGATTACAAATACATGTTACCTAATTTCTAAAAAGTTCTGCTTGGTCAGTGTTGTATATTATGAGCACTGTGTTTGATGTGTCATGCTGTCTATAGTTATATATGTATTCTAATTTTACGACATCTCACTTTCCTGCAGTGTTTGGGGGTATGTTACTGTATGAGAAGTGAACCACCATATTTAACCAATATAACCCAGTTATGTGTTCTGCAATGATTTGACTCTTCTCATGAATGAAGCATGTTTATAGAGTCACACAAATATATGCATGTAATCTTTCTAACCTAAACACTTGTTACAGAATACACGGTACATTTACCTTATAAGCAGGTATATACATGTACATTTGTATGTGTGGTCTAACAACTTTTCTTGCAGGGTTATTTTTGACGTATTAGGAAGTACAAGTCATGATTTTGAAATGATTTTAAAATTGGGTTTTTTTCTGTTTTGATGTAATCAGATTTGAAACAAGAATGCAAAAAAAAAAACAGGGACTTGAAAACAAGAATGATAAAAAAAAATTGTTTCCTAGCTATAGCTTGAAAGCAGTTCAATCAATATATTTTAAAAGATGGGGAGGTCTGTTTTGACAATGCTTGTTAGATATGAGTTAGTAAAATTTCCTTCGATTTTTATAAAGTAACATTAAAAAATAATAATATTTAGACCAAAGTTCATCTTAGTTCTTCAAATTCTTGACAGGTGAAAAAAAGATGAACCTGGAATATTGAGGTCAAACAGATCATAGAACTCAAAGCAATCAAAGGGTCAGATTGGTTGGTTACAGTCATATGAAAAAGGAAAAGGTCAACTAGGTTAATAAAGGTCAACTAGTAAGGATAATGTCAGATAGTTAGATAAAGGTCAAACAGTAAAGGAAAGGTCAAATAGTTAAATAAAGGTCAAACACTAAAGGAAAGGTCAAGTAGTTAGATAAAGGTCAACCATCAAAGATATGGTCAACTTGTTGGAAGTTTACAAGATTGTCAAACAGTTTGGTGAAACTGTAGGTCAAACAATCGCTATTAGGCAGTTACAAATGTAACTAAAGATAAAATAACTAGGTCAAGGTTAAATTTAAGAATTATAGACTCAATTTAAGAATAAGGAAACTAGTATTGGGCATTGTTGATATAGCATGTGTTTTTTCACTGTTGTGTTGACTGTGGTACTTTTTAATTGCATTGACATCATATCAGTTTTATTTTTGTTTCTGTACAAAGTGTTTGGCCTGGCCAAAGATTCGGCCAGAGAATGTGGTAAGTTACTGTTGGTCAGCTTGACTACTGGGATTTAAGGCCCTCTGTTCTGATTGGTAAATTCTTCATTTAAGTCAAGGAAATTTTCAGGTTATGAAATTGTTATCAGTTGACATTTTTAAATATTTTTTTTACTGTTTATGCAATAAAAATTCAATGAGACAAAATTTTAAGATATTCAGAAGTGGACAAGGATAACATAAAAAGAAAGTGTTGACTAGCTCTCTGTCATAAATGAATAATCTTTTTTTCATAACTTGAATAAATTTCCATAATGTTATATTGTTTTAAAAGCATTCTGAAGAAGTTTATGCTTTACAATTACATGCTGCAATTCTTGTGCTTGATCCAAACTCAATGTCACCTGGAGAAATGTTTGACTAACACTCTGTGTTGCTTTAACATAATTTTGTAGAAACAGTCATCCTTGATGACAAGTTGGCAAAAGTTTTTGGTATTCCTACTGAAAATGACAAGGGAGAATACTGCGTACCTGTTGTACGCAAGATTAGCAAATGTTGTGAGTAATGAAATTGTAAAAGCTTCTACTTCTCTGAACAATGTATGGGACTGTTCATAACTTTTCTAAAAACCAAAATGTGGATGTTTCTATCCATTTAATTTCCAATGATTTGTTTAAATTATATTCATGACTACATAGCATAAAGCATGTCAATCTCCATGCATTTGAATGATATGCTAGCCCTTAACTACTAATTTTCAAAACAAGCTTCTGGTCAATAATTGTTTAGGTCAATAAGTGTTAAGTTGTAGAAACTGGTGCTACAGACTGGGCATGTCACACTGTCGAACCTGTTTTGTCCGTTACATTGAAAAAAAATAAAACAGAATAATCGTAGTGACTTGATATTCAGGGGTAACTCTACTAATACTTAAAAATCTGACAAAAAATGAAAAAAATAGCAATGTATTCTTCATTTTTTTCATTGTATAAGTTTTCATCATTAAGCTAGCATCTCTTGGTGTTAATTTCCTATTTACTGGTAAATTCAGTTTCACAGTGAGGAAGTTGAAACTTCCAGAAACTTTTGTATTATCCTATGACCTTGTATTTCCAGTTTTGCTTTTGTTTTAATAAACTCCAATGCAGGGTTTCAAAGATCACTATTTTAAAATCTTCCTGTCAGAAATCTTGCTTAGCAGCTTACTTCAGGATACAGCAAATTAGGTCTACGTGTTTCTAAAACCTCAAAAAGATGTGATTTTATCTGGTCTATTTTGGCCAGAAATGACAATACAGTCTTGTATATCTTGGCTAATAGTTGTGTATATCCTGGTCTGGAATTTTCACAGTCTATCCACAGATCTGAAGTATTACCAGATACCTGCAAGATAATTTTGATGAAACATAAACTCTGTATGCTAGCTTCTGAATTTTATATCCAGCAGAGTTTTTACTATCCATAAAATTTGATGTTTTGATCAAGCAAAGAACATTACCAGATGCCTGCCCCTGCACAAGGCTTTGATGATGTCTACCCCTGGTTACTTCCCTTCCTTGAGCTCTCTCCTTTGTCCAGATTTTGCACGTCCGATTCAACAGTTCAAACTCAGTGCATTTATCTGCATGCATAGCTATCCTGCTCCTGTACATGTATACAGTATATATATATACAGTCTGGCACACGACACACAATACACAGCTGTCATCAAAGCTTCCCATGTTGCTAAATGTACATATATATTGAGAAGAAGAATTATCCTTATAATGTTCTTCTGTCTGGGATTGAGGTTGACTATAATTTTCAAGATATTTATCAATAGTTTTAGTTCTTTCATTATTCTAGTTTTAGTTTTAAATTTCAGTATAGATTTTTTTTTCTAGATATTCTTTAAAATAACATTTATGCCACAATTGACTGGTTTTTTTTTTTAAACATTTTATGTTTGTTATAATGATTAATTATAATGGGAAATTGATTGAAAACTTTGCACCTGGTAAAATAATGGATTGTAATAGTTAAAATGAAAGCATTCAAAATCAAGATGTGATAGTCACCAATTATCTTTGGTATATAGAGATGAATTCATATCCTCCTTTGAGGCCTTTGTAATTGTCAAAATGATGTAGGAAATATTGATCTTTGGTCCCATACATTTGATTGGTGCAAGTTTCATGATGTTTTCAGTTTTAACAACAGGAGTTTACAAAGAAACTAATGAGATAACATATTGATGTTTTGTGAGTTGTTTCAGATATTTTTTTATGTATACTTGCAAATAGAAACTATGATTTGTAAGTTAAAGTTATAGATAAAATATACTTGTCTTGCAAAGCAGTATATGTCAAAGAATTTGATATGCCAAATTGTTTCTAGTGATTTATATTATAATCAAAATGATTTACCTTTAGGTAAAGACGTTTATAAATACAAATAGCTTATAAAGTTGTAAATCTCCTCAAACTGTCATCCTTATTTTATTTGATAGTGTTTTTCTTGATTCTAATTTCATTATTCAGTGTTTAAACATAGCAATAGATAATGTACAGGTAGGATTCAGTTTTTGTTGTGAAATGAAACAGCTATGCACCATAAGTAAATGTATATTTCTGTCTATCAAACCTTTGCACATTTACCACATTTGATGAGCTGAACAGCTGTTGTTGTTTTACACTGGAGTCTAGTAATGTACTAACATATCCTGCAGGGACAGGTCAGGAACAGACTACCTTGTCTGTTTACAGGGCTTACATAATGACATCACTCCTAATTATAGGAAGATTTATGTGTCATTAACACCATCTAATGAGATAGACTATCAATTATATTGGTAGGGTAATCATATGTAGAATGATGAGTATTATCAATTAGTGAGTATCTGGTGTAGATGTGGTGGTAATAGTGATGTACACTTGTCTGTGCCTCTAATAGTAAGTTTATATATAGACATGTATCAGCTGCCGGCACTTGAATTCTTTTTCAAATTACGATTAATTGACTTGGAAAAATAATACTGCTGCTGTTGAAAACATTTGTTGTTGAAACATGTCATGAAGAGAAATGAACTCTTCATGTGCATGTGCTGTGTTTGTCATAATGTCATGGTGGAAAGGATTTTGACTCTCATAATTGATGTGAAACATTTCTGTTTGAAATGTTTTTACCCAGAAAAATGATGATTTTATGTTGATATGTGTGGGAGAACTAGAAATTTTCATCATTTATATAAAAGATAGATAATTTGCCTCCACTTCAGATGAGATGGTGTTTAATTTCACCCCAAGTTTTAGCCAGTTTGGAACATTTCAGTTTTCATTCTGAGTTGTACTAAGTTAGGTATGTTTCACCCAACTTTTTTGAGTTAGGCACATATCATGCCCCATTGTAACAATTTTGACACATTTCATTCCAAGTTGTATATTGCATAAGTGGAATTTCAACACCAGTTGTACTGATGAGTTGAGCAAATTTCAACCCCAGTTGTACTGATCATGAGTTGAGCAAATTTCAACCCCAGTTGTACTGATCATGAGTTGAGCAAATTTCACCCCTAGTTGTACTGATCATGAGTAAGGCACATTTCACCCCCAGTTGTACTGATCATGAGTAAGGCACATTTCACCCCCAGTTGTACTGATCATGAGTTGAGCGGATTTCACCCCTAGTTGTACTGATCATGAGTAAGGCACATTTCCCCCAGTTGTACTGATCATGAGTAAGGCACATTTCTCCCCAGTTGTACTGATCATGAGTAGGGCACAATTCCCCCAGTTGTACTGATCATGAGTTGAGCAGATTTCTCCCCAGTTGTAGTGAAGTAGAGATATTACATCTAAAGTAGTCTAGAGATTTCATCATTTTAAACATTGGGATTTATCTTCCTCCTACTTCAAACATGATAAATAATTATACTTGATATTAAGAGTGAAGTCTAATTACCTCCCTTTACTTGCAGCTGGAGGAATAGCCGAGAAGATGGCTTCAGAGGCTGCAGCTGAGGCAGCGAAGAGACAATTTGTGGATTCATCAAAGTCAGACTAAAGATGGGAAGTAAAGATCTATAATATTTACGCAAGAGGTCCCTATGATAAACCAATTATACGCTGGATGGTATAACAGGAATAGACGGCATATTCTCAGAACTGAAATTACTGACAAAATAATATGGACCAGGCGTATGGAGAATGAGGGCAATATCAGAACTGTTTGTTATATTTTAGTACAAATTTATTAATAATTTTTTTAGTGCTTGTCGAGGCGTTATTAATCAAGTCTGTATATGTTGTGCTGTAAGTTTCTACAACTTGATGTACAAATCTTCAAGATAAAGCATATTTGTGGTGAAGTGATACATCTTAGGTGTAGTGGTGTTCATCAGCAACGGGTTCGATCCATGACAGGAAGGTGTGAGTTTCACTGTTTGCTGTGTTCTTTCTGTACGACATCTTTTGTGTCTTGACTGGCATTAATACAAACTTTTGTACATGTTGTAAATGTATTCAGAAGAATGACTAGATCAGCTTTATAGATTTGTTACAGTCTACCTTAATATGTTAGTCTTGAAGAATGTAAATTTTTCTCCACACCAAATTGAAAAATTTTTGGACTGTTATGTTTGTACAATTTTGATTTAACAGCGATTGTTGAGAGAATCATACTAATGAATATTGAACATTTAGCTGAAATTTCTATACTCTGCTACATTTATACCCATCTGAAAAAAAAATCTAAGTTCATTATCTGTTATTTACTTGTTTTGATATATTGTACATTAAGCTTTTGTTAACAAATCTTAAATTAACATCTATATGTACATTTACAAATTAACATCTGTTTCTAAATTGTATACATTACTTACATTGAAACCAATCAGAGATGTAAAGTCTATTTCATTATTGTACATGTAGATTACATTGAAACCAATCAGAAATGTAAATTCTGTTTAGATATTGTACATGCAGTCATTACATTAAAAACCCAGCAGAAATTCAAATTCTGTTTTGATATTGTACATGTGGCTTACATTGAAAACCCAGCAAAAATGTATATTCTGTTTCAATATTATATATGTAGCCTACTTTGAAACTCATCAGAACTGTAACTTCTATTTCAATATTGTCCTATTGACTTCAACTTGTCAGTCTTTGTACATTCCTCCTGTTTATTTTATCTGGTCATTCTCTTCCATATGTTCACTGGTCCTTTTTGTTTTGTTTTTGTATTGTTTTATGTTTTTCTTTTTTTGTTCAAACTGAAAGCCACAATCTAATATTTCGCATATTAATTCCAAATTTCAATCAAGAATTCGGAAAAAAAACAAGAGAAAGAAATATATTACAACCAAATTGTTTGAAAAAAAAAGAAATCCAGTTCTGTTTTTGAAAACGTTAAAATGATATGTATGTCCATTCTTTACATTGGTGAATATTATCTAGTTTAGGTGGAATCAGTATTAAGGAATATGTATCAAAAGGGTTCAAAATAATGAGATTATCAAAAAAATAATTGAAAAAGAAGAGACTACTGTGTAAATTGTAGATAGTTTTCAATATGAGAAATAAGCCAACTTGCCAAATTTTTGGACAATAATTTGTCAACTATAAAATGTCTTAAAAGATAAGGAATTTAGATTTAGTATTATGTTGTTTTCTTTTTCCTGGAGTTATATGATGTGGTGACATGTATTATGTTTCCACTTGATTTAGTTGTGGTAGATGTCTGTTTCACTCCGTCAATCATATTTTCATGTTTATGTGATGTGCATCATAAATATTCTCTTGATCCGATTTCCAGCAAATCCAAATGAGGCATGTCTCATGGAAATCACTGATTTGTGTCTGTCATCTTTCCTTGTCAGTGGATGTTTCTTGCTACAGTCTTAGAATATGAATTAATATATTTGATTACTTTTTTTTTTCATTAAATCTGCAGAGGGCGATTACATTGTTTTTTTTTTGGCTTGGCTAGATTTAAACACTAGTGCTATATAACGAGATGTTGTCAATTGAGATAATTTTTCATATCTTGGCATTTTATGCATTTTTGCTGTACATAAATTAGTTATTTAATATTTATTGTTAAAATTTAGAAATTTTCTCAAAGTGCAATGTATACGTATGTTTTGGTTTGTTTTGCTTTTCCACACTGAACTAATGTATTGTAATTTGAATCCAAGTCACGCAAATTTAAGTGCTGATAGAATAGTTTTTATAATCACGGCAATATTACGCACGCTGGTCTTGCATGCCTTGTATATTACCAATTTGATCAACATAAAAATTTCAGTCTGGACATAATTTACATCTAAGTAATAAACAGAGACACATGTGAAACGTTTACCTATGTGAAAAAAAATTCTCTCTTATATAAAGTAGCCCGATTTAATCAAGAAATGAGGTAATGTATCTTGAATTTATGCTCACAAGTTACAAACAGGGTATTCTAGTCCAAGGTAGTGAAATTTCTATTATATAGTGTGATTTGAGCAATAATACTGACGATGAAAATGAATACCCAGTAGTAAATCTCTGTCTACCGTTATGAAATTACTCGCATTAGATGAAAATATTTACATGATCTCAATTGAATCTGTAATAGAGCTTTCATATGAATTAAGGAAAAATCTAGCTGTTCACGTAATCAGAAAAAAATCATTTTGGTCCAGTTTGACTGGCTTCTGTGTGCCTTAAGTACGCGTGCCATTTCTAATGTTACTTGTTGTAGTGGGGTGATGCACATAATGGAAAGCATTCCTTCATTGAACTTATTCAAGTTTTCATACCAAGGACACATTACAACACCAAAATATTTCCTTTACTTTTTCCAATCTCCGTGAGTTGTCCCTTTTTTCTACATTCCTTTCTTAAAAAAACAATTTGTGACGTACTGTTGTTCTGTAGTAACTGTTATTCTCATTTGATATTGAAAAAAGCAAACCAGTAATTTACTTAGAAACACTGAAATTTAAAGAAGTTATCAACAATGCATTTAGAATGTAAGATTCTTTTTTTGTTTTGATATTTGGCGCATGTCCTTGATCTGATATGAAAATAAACCTAGTGTCTACTTTATGGTGAGCTGTTGACCTTGGGAACATTAATTTTGTCAATTATTTGCCAAAAAAAATTCTTTGAAGGATTTGTATTCTGACACCAATTTTTTTAAATGTTCTTTAATCGAATGCTTGCATAATGTAAATATTTGTTGATGGAATTTTTTAATACAGACATTGTGGGGAAAAAAAGAAAAGAAATGGGCAGCTGCCTAAAGGTTTTCATCCAAAAACTATTCCGTTTATGGGTATGATCAATTAGATCTCATATGAAATAGTCTATATTTATATCAAACACATTTTGTACTTCAGTGTTAGTCTGTTTAAACCAGATTTCTACCATCACAATTATAAATATTTACTTATCAATATGCAATCCACATAAAAAATATTAGACTGAATCATACTGTTGGCCAGTGCCCTGTGTTTGTTTCTGTCATACATCTGAGGCATTAAGACAAAGGTATATTTCTGGACCATACTTTGCAACGTTAACCCTGCATTTCACCATACACTGATTACATACTCTGAACTTTGATGTTCTGACCAGTTTCGTATCTGTATGTCAAATATAACTCCATATGTTGTACATACTCTCGAATGGCATGCTCAATAACTACTTTTTCGATTAAAATTCAATGTATAATTACTAAATTGAATACAATAATTTTCTCTTACCTATGTTCTTGTTGTTTTTTTGTGTTTAATCAATCAATAATTTTGCATTAAGCCCAGAGGGAGATAACCCACAATCTTTGACTACAAGAGCTAAGGACAGTGAAATAATTTTGAATGACAAGATAGTTATGAGAGATAAAGGTGGACTTATTACGAGATACACTCCTTTTTCAGGATAAATATGGTCATGGTAGGCTGTTGTGAAACAGACTATACTACTGTGATGTGTAATATATGGTCATGGTAGGCTGTTGTGAAACAGACTATACTACTGTGATGTGTAATATATGGTTATGGTAGGCTGTTGTGAAACAGACTATACTACTGTGATGTGTAATATATGAAACGGTCTATACTACTTTACTGTATGATTGTATAGAAATCCAGTCATTTTAAGTATGAAAGATAGTGATTGTGCGACCAAGGTCTTATGTGCATTAACTATAGGTGTAGTAATTCATGAACATATTATGCTGTCAAAGAATTTCTGTATTCCTCGATGCTCAAGGGGTTACACTCACTACCGCTCTCTGCACCCCTGGAACATTTCATAACAAAACTAAATTTTCTTGAACTTCTTGTGGAGAAGACTAGTTTGATCCTTTGATGTACGTCAAAGAAATCTTGAGGCCATATAGCGGTATGTTGTAATGGCTTTTAAATCGGGTGTCACTCCTTTCTGATCTTCAAACGAGAGTTTATCAGTCTGTGATTGGTCAGATTTTTTTCTTCTTGATCTGTCTCTAGACAAGTCAAATTACTTGACCTGTGCCTTCCATTTTGCCATGAAAAGTCACAGGGGTACAAAAGAATTTCACGTAAGTCAACATGTACAAAAAACCACACATTAACACAATTTTCTTTTCTGTATCAAATGTATTTAGGGATTTTATCCCCATATCATACTTATTGTGTACGGTCACATTCTCTACACAGTACAAAAATAAATAATATTTCTGTTTTTTAGTATAGAAAATAAAGAAAGTAAGGATAAAGAGAGTTTGACAATGGTAATCTGCTCCGAGATACTAGTATTGTGTCACCTTTCTCAAATTTTCAGAAACACAATGGTGAGAGCAAGACTAGGTTTTGTTGATCAGAAAGCAAGACCAAGCAATGATATTGAGAAGCAATACAGATTGAGGTCAAAGGTTGACATATATCAGGATAAAGGTTAACTAAACGTTTGTCAAATGTACATTGTTTACAAACACTTTTTACTGATGATGTTCTAATTCTTTTTCCTATTTAGCATCTAAATCCATAATTTCTCTCACGACTTTACCGGATGTATTGCCCTGTCAACTGCCAGCAAGTGAAAGAATTTATAAACTTTTTAGCATACACAGTTAATATAAGGATTTGATGGCATCTGAGATTAAACAAATGCTCTCCATCCTGCTTGGGGTAAAGTCTTACTGAGTGTAATATTAACATCCCTTCAATGATTAATAAGTAAAATGTTTAAATCTTGTAAAGTTACTACCTTCATTATGGACCCTTTTGTTTATAGCAATACAACCAACTGGACCAGGATTTATCACTTTTGAAATATAAGTGGACTTACTGATGTTATTTTGCATTCTGATGAGCCTTGACAAAAACAATTTTAAGTCTGTATCAATATATGTAAATCCACAAACCATTTTTTTCTGCATAAACAAAAGTGACCCAAGTCCTGAGAAAGTCTAGTCAGCCTAAGCAAAAGATTATAATTAACTCAAAAATCATCATTATCAACTAAATTTGAACTGAAGATGTATAAAATGAAAGACATTTTCTTTCTATTAAATGATTTGAGCTAATATCTGGTAAGCGCGGTCTTCTTTTAGTAGTTTAAAGTAAATCACATTGTATTTCATCATTATTTCAATATAAAAAACAGCCTAAGAAAAAAAATATGAAAATATATGGCATAATCATGAGTTATTTTGATGAAAAAATCTTGTCAAGGGAAGGGAAATAACTCTATTTAGATACTTGTGAGTACAAACAATGTACCAAATATATATATATATTAATGAACATCTCTGTTAAGGGATGGTTTCAAAGCAGTAAATTTTAGCATATTACTATTTTATACTAAACTATACATTTCTAAATACCTGTAGCAGACCCTGTTGTACTCAAATTACAGCAAAAATAAACATCATATTATTAAATCCAATCTCTATCAACGTTGTGGGATATATGTATACTGTAGTCAGGCAGCATTCTGAAACAGCTGTATTCTATGTTTATATGCATAAGCATTTTCTGCAATTTTTTTTATTATTTCATATTTATTTACTAAGAACCATGAATATTCAAGGTGTAAAAAAATGGAATCTACAAAAATATTCTCCAGATTAAATCAAAAACTGTCTATGGATTACTAAACTTCAAAGCTGTTTTGTTAATAAAAATTGAACATGGCATATAAAATCTGAGAAAGACCTATACATTACTCCAAGAATCAGTGTAATGGTGAACATTACAATTCAACTGTCTCCACTGAGAATCAAACCCAAATCCTCTGGTTAACTGCTCAACTGAACGAACCAAAAGAAATTCATTATAGAATGTGGGACATATTTAGAATTGTATAAAGGTGACATTTGTTTTTTTGTAAAACCATTCTTAAACTGTCCGTAAGAATTTTTCCAACTTAAGAAAACCTGATAAAATGTAATATGTTGTGTACTTAGAACAACAAAACTGTGTGAAGATAATAAATAACATAATCAGTGACCAAGAAAAACATTGTAGTGGGATTATTATAAACTCACCAATTATCTCTGTAAAAATACACATGCTAGCCTTCTGTCTTTATTTTCTGTCCACACACATTCTCCTCTCTTTCGTATACTTCCAACTTTGCATTCTTACAGTTCTTGTCATTCAAAAATAACTTTCAACTGCACAGTGTTGTAAACAACAAATTTAAACACATACTCATATTTGCAAATGACTTCAAGTTCCATTGGTAAATATTTATGCTGTAACTATGGTTCCCTACACTGATTACAAAAATATGACACTAGTCAATATATCAACAGACATCAAGGAACAATGTACTAAAAATTATTGTCTTTTAGAAATAAATGTTTACCCAGTGTCAAAGCATTAAAAAAGAAAATTTCTGGTTTCAATTTAGGATATTTTGAAAAAAAGAAAAAGTATACTCAAAGAGTAATTGACTCTCAATGATGTTTGTTATGGTTGTGAATTACATGGTGATTTACATTACAAAATAATAATTTTAAAAAATCTCTTTTAGAGAAAGTAACTAGCACAAATTACATGAATAATATATAAGGTGGCATATATCCTTAAATCTAACACAATACTGAGGTAATTTAACTTTAACTTGAACATAATATATATAAGCTAGCATAAACCCTGAACTTTCATACAGATTAGCAATATAATATCTAAAGTAGCATACACCAATAACTCTCATTCAGATCAGCGATAATATGTAAGCTAGCATACACCCTTAACTCATACTGATTAGTGGTATGATATGTAAGCTAGCATACACCCTTAACTCATACTGATTAGTGGTATGATATGTAAGCTAGCATACACCCTTAAGGTGAAATCTAGTATTGAGTACACATGCCATTTTTTCCCCCTAACAATTCATCACAGTTGATTCACATTACAACATTTGGACAATTGAAAAATAAACTCACAACATCATACTTTTAAACATACCAGATCGTAACAAATGATTGTCATTTGGTTACATTTGCATACAGATAGATCACAATAATGATTCCATCTTCGATTGATCAATCACTAAAAGTAGTACAAATTTTGAGATTCAATTTGATTAGAATTATTCCTTTCAATCTGAAATATTTAATAGATATTAAAATAATTTATTCTTTATCACTTGGTAAACATAACAAAATGCTCTGAAGATATAGAGTGGTTTGTGAAATGATTTTTAACCCTTATTGGGCCTCAAAAAGAAAATTAGGTTAATGATAAACTTCATGATGAATTTGTTAAAATTGTCATCTGAAAAATATATTAATAAGCACATCTAAATCATTGATAAGCTGGCATATCAGATTGTACAATCTAATAGAAAATAAATAAAAAGACTTGAGCAGAAAAGCACTTGGAATGTATGAAGCCTCAAAGTAGACTTGAGCAAGGCTGCTCACTGAAGTCCTGAATCAACTAAGACGCATGGTCAAAGGATCTGTTACCAATCAGCAACCTTGTCAGAATATCAAACACCCAATCAAAACCCTTGAAAAAATTGAGGGTAGTACATTTTTTCTGAATCACAGGAATTGTTCTGAACAACCATGCCCTTGTTGTAAGCAGACATCAATGACTCCATAGTTGTGGTATGAGCAATTTTAGCCAATCACAAAGAGGCAGAACAAAAATGAGCTTCACCAACTGGTGAACATCACAAGGATATAAAAGCAATTTATTGTAGTCATATATACTAATTACTAAGACCAATGCTAGCTAGCTTTTTTCTATCTCCTCTAGACACCGTTTTGCATATCCTTGAATGTCTGACATGTCTGCTACTGCAGAATAAATCATTTCATGGAAAATTGATGGCCACAGTTTGAGTAGTTCATTCTTCTTTCTATCAGCAAACACTGTCTCTTTCACTATCTCGTTTATATAAGATCTGGCGAATGTTTTCTTGGCTTGTTGTTCCTGTCAAGAGAAACAGAATCAATGAATGTACAAAATTGTCAAAATCAATGTGAAAACTTACATTTATTCCAGATGGTTTTAAGAATTCCTTAAAGCAAGAGCCAGAGTTACTTATAACTAACTCAAAACAAGTCTCTTCTGTTATGTTGATGGGATTATTTTCATTATATGATACTAATCAACCCATACTTGACCTAAGACTCCAAGCACCAACTTAATGTTGACCTCAGACTCCGAACACCAACCTATTGTTGACCTCAGACTCCAAGAACCAACCTAAAGTTGACCTCAGACTCCGAACACCAACCTAAAGTTGACAGACTCCAAGCACCAACTTAATGTTGACCTCAGACTCCGAACACCAACCTATTGTTGACCTCAGACTCCAAGCACCAACCTATTGTTGACTTCAAGACTCCGAGCACCAACTATTGTTGACCTCAAGACTCCAAGCACCAACCAATGGTTGATCCCAGACTCCAAACACCCACCTTTGGTTGACCTTAGAGTCACAGCATCAACCCATAGCTGACCTCAGACTCTCAACTCTGACTAGTATTAGATCTTAGACTCTGAGCTCCAACCCACACTAGACTTAAAATTGTGCACTCCAACAGGAAAATACTTTCTGAGGTATATTAACTTCTTGAGACTTGTAGAAATTTTGTAAAACTTGAGAACTTCTTTATAAGAAAGGCCATTTATGGTGTTGAATTTGGATCGTGAATGATTGTCTACTTACCGTTGATTTAGACGAAGTGGAATCAGGACTAGTGTAATGGAGTCCTGATCTTCCAACAAACTCGCCCTGTGATTTGTCAAGTTTTCCTTCCAAGAATTTCTTGGACTTTTCTTCGCTCATAGCCAGGAGCTGCTTCCTCCTGTCAAAATAAGACAGAGATTTGTACTACATGGTAAAAATGAAACTAAAATTATCTGCAGAATCTGTTTCTCCGTAGACAATGAATGACTTCAAATAGATATTGGAACAAAAATCAAGAAGCTGTTATCTTACAACCACTTATCAATGAAATTCATAACATCTCAGACTACACAGCATCATGTATACACCATCACATATTTCATATACTCAGTCTATTGTACAGTGTAATAACACCATCATATACTCAGTCTGTTATACAGTGTAATAACACCATCATATACTCAGTCTGTTACACAGTGTAATTACACCATCATATTCCCAGACTGTTATTCAGTGTAATAACACCATCATATATTCAGTCTGTTATACAGTGTAATAACACCATCATATACTCAGATTGTTATAGAGTGTAATAACACCATCATATACCCAGTCAGTTATACAGTGTAATAACACCATCGTATACCCAGGACGTTAATTAATGTGATTACACCATCATGTACTCCCACTGACAACTATTTCACTAGATTGAGCTACTGACTACTATTTTACTAGAATGAGCTACTGACAACTATTTCACTAGATTGAGCTTTAATGTCTATACAGTGATTGGGGACACCATTAATTATACATGTATAATACAACACTGGATGACCACTGATATACAGAACTAATGAGGGGGTCTGTTATTGTTGTTTATATCACCTTGATGGTAGGCCAGGTGCCATTGTGTGGCCACCACCCACAAAGAGGTACTTAAGGTGGCCTTGTGGTTCATCAGACCTGTTATAAGGTCAGCGGACCTTTATCAATAAGCAAGACTTGGAGAGCCATTAAAAAAGACAGACAATACCACTGGGTGTGTATTTTGTATATGTCTTAGGATGTAACAACTGTTACCTGTCTCTGTAACAAAAATCAATATATGTTATGTATCCTTGTTTCAGTTTTCACTGGAAAATGTATGTATGTAATCTTATTTTAAAGGCTCTGTCCATTCTCCACCCACCCCCATTCTTATCGCAACCCTTTGTTGGAATTTTCCTGTGAAAATCTACACAATTTTGTTTGATGAAAAGAAAAGATATAATGTAAGTCCAAAAGCTTTGCTGCCTGATATCTACAACATCCTGGAACTATAACATTACATACTAACACACATATGCTTGTTTAACAATATTGATCCTAGGTCTGTCCAAACTATGATATGTATAACAAACAGCATTGCATACTTATTGAAAATAATTTGTTTTTGGACTGGTGAGACACATTTGTTAGAAAACTTTGCCTCATTGATATACAATGTAGTTGAAGGAATATACACTTGAATAAGAAACAAGACCTGGTTGTCTGTGTGAATCCTGTGACTCTACACCCCAAAACAAAAGCTGACGTTAAACATATGATTTGTATGAATAAATATGTTGTATGAGGATCTGGGTTAAAAACAAAGTGTTCACGTACATGTGTCCATTTACACCTGTCAAACTGATTAGTTCACTGCTCGTAATTCATTACACTATTATACTACAGAACAATCACAGCATTTTTGTCCCCTTACAACACTTGTATAAAACTCTAGCTCAAGTCTACATAGAGCCCTGGACTTGAAAGTATAATCACTTAAAGCATTGTTAGTTTTCTCATCTCTAATTCAAATGTTGAACTTCGGTTTTCAACACCTAACAATTAAAATATGATGAAAATATACTTTTCAGACAAAATATACAAAATTGACAATAAAAAAAAACCACACACACATACAAAAAAGAACCCCACAAGAAAACATCTAGAAAAAAAATCAATTTAAAAGTATCATTTAAAAGACAAATTTAGTTTTCAATGGAAATCTGATACGGCACAAGAGGAATTATGTAAAAAATACTTTGAATTGCACATGAAGTCTTACTTAAAAGTCTCAGATAATTTGATCAACTTTCCAAGTTAAGTACAAAACTATTAGACAGCTCGCAAAAGCTATTGAAGTTTCAAATACTCACAGATAATGTCGTTAAACGCCAATTGAATGTATATTACTTTTCTTTATATACTTACGAATTCTGAACAACTGTTTCTGATGATTGCACATTTAAGAATTTGAGTGAAACACGAGATTTGCTCCTGATTCCATCACAACTATGATCTTTGTCTAAATCATTGATGATTTGTCTGTTGTTTTCCTTTGAAGGATAAAAACTTAAATCTCTTGCCAAACTTTGAGCACTTTCCTTTCTGATGAGAGGCTGGTTACTATGACGACTAGTGGCTGTATTTTTTCTACCTGAAGAGGTCTCTGCCTCCTTTTTTGAAGTTTCACGTTTTAAACTGGTTTCTCCATCCATGGTTTTAGACTGATGACTGCTGGGTTCTCGTCGTGTAGTAATGACTACCGACTCAGAATTATTTTTCTGGACAGTTGTAACATCCTTTCCTCTGTACACATTTTCTTTTGTTTTAGGTGTCCCACTACTAGAAGAAAAGGGAGGGACATCAGCGTCCCATGACTTGTGAGCATGTTTATCTGTGGCTGTGGTGTCCTGTACAAGCCCTATAGTACTACACTTTGCCTGCTGTGATTCAACATCTCTGTTAAATCTACAGGGCTGTGATCCTCTTAGTTCCCTCACTGTAGGAGGCTCAGAATATCGCTTAATGAATGTCCTTCTGTTATTTATATCTCCCGAATCTTTCTGATAGCGAATCTCATCCACCCGAACATTTGAACCGTTATCTGAAGGAATTGACTCCAAATAACTATGTATATGGATTCGGGTTTCAGGGTTGGGGATAAGAGTCCCATTGGATTGGGCCATTTGGAATTCCTCCTGTGATGGAACCCAATTGTTGACAGGTGCAAACTGTGACCGAGAGTTCAAATTAACATCCATGTCCATCCCATTCTCTAATCCTGAAGTGAGGGACTGACTTCTCTGAAATTTCGGTTTTGTTTTGATCTCCATTTTAGTTGAGCTGAAAGCTGTCATGCTAGCCAGCTCAGCATTTCTATCTGACTCGATACACAAACTTCTGTTTTGCGCACTATGAGACAAAGCACCTATAGAGTGAGGAACGGGCATCGAGTTACTGATGGGGTAGGGGTAGGGCGGGGTTGACTTCTTCGGAAAGAAGTAGCCGATATTCATCTTCATAAACTGTAGATTTTTCATTGTATCCATACTGAAGTAACACAATCATACACTTTTGCAGATTTAAAGATTTTAAAGCCGAACAAATCTTTAAATAAATAAACCTCCATAATGTGAATCACTACTATGGATGATAAGTCCTATCCGTCTGGTCATTTAAAAACGCTGCTTAAACAGCTCGTGCTATCTTAATATGATATTTAAAATCTTAACTGTCTGTATTACACAGACATAACAATTAGTCCAATGTCCTTCAGGCTTATAAACCCGATCTGCCTCGGATTAATTACCTCCTCTTCAAGACTGTATTCTCAGGGCCGAGCTTATCAACGTGGTTGATTTTGTCGACTTCGAAGACCTGAGGCATTTATCACCAGCTGTCAAATGTTGCCAGTGAAATGTTTATGTTTTTTTCCAGCCGAAGTAAAGATATGTTTTGTAGCACATATCTAGGTTAATCCCAGTCCACATGATGATAATCTTTCACACAAATTAATGAGACTATTTTACACTGTGATCTCCAGAAGATATTGGTTAATTTTCTTTTGGTAGCTATTAGCCAGACAAAGCACAAGTGTTGTCGATATGTAACGATCTATAGCTATCAATTATTTGGATCTATCCTGAGCTTAAAGACATTGGTCTGATTGGAAAATCATGCAGATCGTCTTGTCCTATCAGATTGAATGTCAATGAGGCTACAGACCAGAAATTCTTAACACTGTAACGGATTGGTTATAAACTTATACATCAGAATAAAGATCCATTAGCTTAAGCAATAAATTAAGACAAAATATTTTCATCAAATTCTTGTTTTAAATTAGAACACAAATTTAATAAATTTAGATATATATATTTTCTGAATATGATTAATCTGAGCTGGAAGATAAGTGATATCTATTTTTAATTTTTGATTATTACCAAAACATATCATTGCATCTTTTGTTTAAATTTGCTTAAAGCTATGAAATATGATACAACGACAACATGATCAGCTAAGTGTTAAAATGGAATGAGTATGGACAATACATATTTCACATGATCAGGGGTTTAACTCCTTCACGGTCTTGTCACAAATAGATACGCCCTTTAGTTAGGAATTGATGAGAGGACAACTCATGCAGTGTTTGTTGGTTGGTTCAATGTTTCAATATACCATGGACATTGCACTGTCCCAGTTCTGGTTTTTTTTTTCAAATTTCTGATCCTCCTTTGAAATTACAAGTTTTCAATCCAAAATTTGGACAAATCTTTGTTGTGATCAAAGCAATTGTAGGTAAATAATTACATCTGGCACAAGGAATTTCTGGTATAAATTGTACTGATGTGACTTCCTGTTAATTAAACATCTGTGTCATCTCCAGGATAGACCTAACTCTGTAATTTCAGGAATTCTGCAAAAGCAGACAGATATTTGTAAATCTGCATTCCGAAACTACAGCACTTTTAGCGATGCCTTGAAATGAATATTCAAAACCAGATTTGTCCACAGTATCAGCAAACCTTTACCATATCATTTGTAGTTTTTATAAAAAATACTTTACATATATGGAGAGATATATGTATTAATATCTAAACGAAATATTTTTCTAGAAACTATATAGAGGTTTCTTCATAACATGCCTTTGTGGAAAAACATTTTTGAAGAGTGAAATCAATAGGTTCCACTTGTAATAGCTGTGTGCTTGTATACACAAGAACAGCAATATATCAATACCTGTTTCTCCAATATCAATAAAAAAAAAAATTTGGTCCAAACATTTTTCTTCAGTAGCCAAAGTTAAAATGTCTGACAAATATTGACATAATTTGCTGACATAGTCTTCTTCATCAAATACAAGTTGTAGAAATGATTTGTTGACAGTATAGATGTTGACTATGAGAATTTGATCTTCCCTAGTTCTCTAGTCCAGTTGGATCATCACTGCACACATTACACTGACACTTGGCTGTACTTATTATTCCTGATCCACAGACCATCACTGTGAACTGAATCTACACAGAGCTTTTTTTAACGTGTACCAAGTCAAACAAAATGAATCAACATTGTGTCAGAATTTCCGACGATGACCTTTCAATATAACACCTATTTTATTGACAACCAGCACCTTGCTAGTAAAACAATCATTTCTCCTATATAGTAGCATTCACATAGAAATAAAGGTGATGGCTGCCACAAAGTTGGTCAGGTACGAAAACAAGGTCTCCGTGATGTGATAAGACATTGTTTACAACGAAGGCGTACCAAAATGTGCCTATAGAAACATTTGTATAAATTGAGCTGCAGTGTACTGCCACAAAAACACTTCATAGATTTTTTTTTTATATTATCCATAAACAGAATGTATCAACTGAGAGTCTTCTCACTCATCATGTTGAAGTCATTAGTTTGTAAATTAATCCATTTCAAATTGTGACACTAATGTCTATCCTTAACATCCGTCCCACGTTTTCCACGGCCTTGACAATAATTTAACACTAACATTTCTTAAATCTTCATCTTTGGGAACATGACACGTCACAAAAGCTTAGATCCTATAATCTGTCAGCACTTTGTAAAGGTAGCATTGATTCTCAGCTTCACTATAAGATGGAGATTGTCTGTAGTTTGTTGTGAAAGCACACTTGTGGCCCTACTGTTCATTTTTAAAAGATCGTCAATGAACAGTCTCTTCAAAGGTCAAGTATTTCAATACTGTTTTGTTCAAACATGTTGTTTCTCTCCAAATCAGAAAGTCATCAACACTCTCCTCGTTTCATATATAATACAAGTCAAATGCATTTGATTAAGTACGCTTGGAAATGAATTATAAAACATCTTCCATAACTAACACTTCAATTGTCATCCTGATGGTTAAAGTTCCCCAAGCAAGTTTTTACAATATCCTGGATTAGTTATATGACCATTGTAAATATTGACTGACAAGCTTGGGTCGCCACTGGTCAATTTCCTTTCATCATGTATGTAAATATATGTAAAGTTATTCCACTATGAGCTAGGGAGCTCTCACAGTAGCCGTTGTGTACAGTTGGTAGGACATTTCAGGACTAAGCTGTCCGGGTGTATGTGTAAATTCAGGAATTTATTGGCTATTTCTGACCTATGACCACTGACATCTGCATGGCAAGCGAGAAAGCTTTTACGCAATCAGAAACCGCAACAATACTATGGAAATTTGTCACTAAAATATATTGGATATGTCAATCAACATTTTTCAGGTCACCTTGTCAGATTAAGTGTAAAGTTCTTTTGATAAGATAACACTTATTTTTCAGAGGAAATCAAGGTGTGAAATTATCCTCTTCATGAGTCAACAAATTCTTTTTCCTAAACTTTAAAACTTAATTGTTCTTTTCATCCATGATAAATTGATCTGTCATTACACAGTGTGATTAGCTATATTTACATAATGTTGTTAAATCAACACAGGGTTTTGGCATATTTCCCGTCTGATAAAATTAATTAGAAACAAAATTCTCTCCCACCTGCTTAGTTTTTTCTGTCATTCATCTACTGTATTGATCAGAAAATGTTAGCTTTTGACGTTAAAATTTACTCTTAAAATAAGAAAGTGTTTTTATTGCTTTAACACTTACTTCCATTGTCTTATGATTATATTTTCTTCGACAAACTAAGGCAGATGCTGTAAAATCTTATGTTATTGGGGGCGTTGGGTCTTATGTCATGGTTTTCTAAATGTAACTATTTTCATGGTTGCTTAATTTTCTCGACATGAAAGAATTCAACAAATGTTATAATCAATTCATTTTTAACCCTTTGTAATCTATATGAATTCATAGAGAAAGATTTACCCATAAAAACCACCACAGAAATGCAAAACCCACTAAAATTTTCAAACTTATAACTTCATTTTTAAAATTTTTTAAATGCACCTCAATTTCATGACTAAATACAGACACTTGTTCATTAATTTTACTTGGCGTTTTATTTTCGATAATTTTGTGGGTAATTCATATCTCCATTCAGCCATGAACATGATAACAATTTTATCTAAATTTTGTACCAGTGGATTTCAAGAGTCAGTATTAACTAGGTAATGAAGTGCTAACACAGTGCAACTTTAGCATACAAAAAACAGGCACAATCTTTGGGTCCCGTAACAATGCCTCCCCAAAACAACACCGAGTAAACCCACTATCATCAGACTTTCTGGTGTATACTTGATGTAAACCAGGACTTTGATTTATTATGGAAAAAAAAGTTTTTCAAACTGTCGTAATTATGCTGGAAAATTCAACCTTTTCCAAAATTGTAGAATAATATCGACTTTCACTTTTTCCCATAAAAAGGACTGAAAATTTAAAATTTCAACCTTTTTCACTTTTAAGCAATTTTTCATCACAGTGTTCATACAACACATCAGGTTGAGCATCATGAGTGTAAAGGCCTGGACACTAAAGTAATCTTGCATTGTGCTCTACATTTACTTTATCTGTCCTACGAGAATTTGTACATTGGTCCCCAGGGCTTATTGCAGTATAAATTGATCTTATCTAGTTTCCCCCATTAGAGAGGGCTGCCCCTCTACCCTCCCAACAATGGTAGAGCAGACAGCAGTCTTGTTTGGGTTCCTTCAGTACAGAGGGCTGCCCATCTACCCTCCCAACAATGGTAGAGTAGACAGCAGTCTTGTTTGGGTTCCTTCAGTACAGAGAATGGTAGAGCTAACAGTAGTCCCCGCACTCTCCCTCTCTTCCTAGTCAGGGAGAGTAGACAGTAGTCTTACCTGATTTCCCCAAGTAGAGAGAACACCTCCCTCCCTCATCAGTTTGGTGGAGTAGACAGTAGTCTTACCAGGTTTCCCCTAGTAGAGAGAGAATACCTCCCTCCCCTCCCCCAGTATGGTAGAATAGACAATAGTCTTACCTGGTTTCCCCCAGTAGGGAGAACAACTCCCCTCCCTCCCCAGTATGGTAGAATAGACAGTAGTCTTACCTGGTTTCCCCCAGTAGGGAGAACAACTCCCCTCCCTCCCCAGTATGGTAGAATAGACAATAGTCTTACCTGGTTTCCCCCAGTAGGGAGAACAACACCCCTCCCTCCCCAGTATGGTAGAATAGACAGTAGTCTTACCTGGTTTCCCCCAGTAGGGAAAACAACACCCCTCCCTCCCCAGTATGGTAGAATAGACAATAGTCTTACCTGGTTTCCCCCAGTAGAGACAGCAGCCTTGACTGAGGGAGCTGCGACGTTGTGATGTGTGACACCGGGCCATACAGCTTCTCTGCATTCACAATATCAGAGGCTGACACCTGCAAGAAAGATCCAAATATCAAAGAAACTCTTTTTCATTCTAACAAAATTTCCACGTATTGGCACTCCAACTAAAGCTTCAAAAATTCAAAAGAAGAAAAGAAAACTTACCCTGTAGATTTTCATATGAAAATCTAACTCTGTTTCCTCTCTAACATGCATGTATGTAAAATGTACATCAAATGTTGTATAAGGAAATCGCACATCAAGTTAAATACGAACATAAAAATAACATTTATTTATCATGGGTACATTCAATCAGTATTATAACAGTGGTGTTATTATGTACGCAGGAGTGATTTGTACTTCAAGTGTCAAACAAAACCTTGATTCCACACACAAGTGTCCGCGACTTCAATTGATTAACGGTGGAGATCAAATCGTTTCTGAGGAGATATAACACTCCGATTATGTCATTGTACTGTGAGCAACTGAACAACACACAATAGCCGTTGTAATCTTGATATGTGCCTGGTAAGGGGTTCGTACATTTTACAATGTAGGTTCCACAGAAGAAAGGTTTAAATGTCTGTTAAAAACCAGTTAACATAAATTTGTCAACTCTGTGGCTTTGCTGGTTGTCTCCCATTATCAGAGCTATTAATTTGTCTTTAGAATATGATAATGTACTAGTGTTAGGATATAAAACCTTGGGGTTTAAATCTCCTGGGAACCAGTGACCGTAAAATCATTAATTTTTGTGGGAATTTTATGTTCATTAATTTCCTGGTTCTCTTAATCCATAATTCTGTATGTCCATTAAATGTTAAAAGAAGTGTAAGTAGATTTATTAAGCTAAATTTAGCCCCAAAAAGCAAATGTAAATGAGGAAGCGATATTTGGAAAACTCACGAAAATTCAGCCTCACAAAAACATAAGATTTTATGGTACTTCCTTATATCAACTTAAATCTTCAGTAACTTTAAAATGTAGCAACGTGAAAATGTGCTTTTGTAATATTTAATCATTTATTTATTATACTTAATCATTTATTTATTTAGATAAAAACTTACTTTGATCTGTGAATCCTTAGATGGTGACAGATATTTCAATATCTCTTAATGACTTCAAAGAATTACATGTTTTGAAAATGTAGCAGCTGACAAGGCCTGACAAAATCTAACACTGCATAGATTTACCCATGAAAGTAAAACTATACAGACAGAATAATATTAACACTGTAGACAGATTAAACCATGATGTTACACAGTAACACTATAGACAGATTAACACATGACGTTACACAGTAACACTATAGACAGATAGACCCATGACATTACCTAGTAACACTATCGACAGATTAACCCATGACGTTTTACAGTAACACAGCCATGACTTTACACAGTAACACTATAGACAGAGAAACACATTACGTTGCACAGTAACACAATAGATAGATAGACCCATGACATTACCTAGTAACACTATCGACAGATTAACCTATGACGTTTACAGTAACACAGCCATGACTTTACACAGTAACACTATAGAAAGATTAACATATGACCCATTAACACCATGGACAGATTAACACATGACTTTACCCAGTAACACCATAGAAAGATTAACACATGACATTACCCAGAAACACCATAGACAGATTAACACATGACATTACCTAGTAACACCATAGACAGATTAACACACGACGTTACCTAGTAACACCATAGATAGATTAACACATGACGTTACCCAGGAACACCATAGACAGATTAACACATGACATTACCTAGTAACACCATAGACAGATCAACACATGACATTACCCAGTAACATCATAGACAGGTTAACACATGATGTTACCCTTTAACACCACAGACAGAGTAACACATGACGTTACCCAGTAACACCATAGATAATTCAACACATGACGTTACCCAGTAATACCATAGACAGATTAACACATGATGTTACCCAGGAACACCATAGACAGATTAACACATGACGTTACCCAGTAACACCATAGACAGATTAACACTATGTTACCCAGTAACACCATAGACAGGTTAACACATGACGTTACCAAGTAACACCATAGACAGAGCAACACATGATGTTACCAAGTAACACTACAGATTTACTTGTGGTATAATTTCTTTGTACAATTGTACTTGTGATCACAGAAGGCTTCTAGTGATGTTTCAATGAAACGTTTTCCTCCATACAAGGATACATGAATCTCCTCTTTTTTTATCACTTCCAGTTTTAAATATTTCTGTTACTATGCCCATGCCCATGTTCAGTGATAAGCCTACCTTTATCTTCTGTTCTCCAAAAAAAGGCCAATAAATGATATCCTATTGTTCTGTAATAAGCCCACCCCCATACTTTTGGTAAGAAAAGTAGTATAAGGGTTGACAAAAGTCTTATTGTAAAATTTCACCACAGTTGATTTACAGTTACATATACTATTAAGAACTTGCCACTTACCTCGATATCATTGATTTTTTTGAGGGCAAAATGGGCCAGTCTGAAAATAACATACATCCGCCACAATGTAAATTTTGTGACCGGGTTCCCATCCAAGTCTATCGTCAGGTTGTCAAGGCGACGAATATTTGACAAGGCGTTGATCTGTGACAGTGTCCTTATATTTGTGGCACTAAACGTCACTGTCTGAAAGTCAAAGAACAATTTGAAATTTAAATTTTATATCTACATAGAAATTTAAAATCACTCAAAATTATCCAAATAAAGATAAATGCAATAAAAAAAATAAAGGAACCATTTTTCATTTTTGTAAAAATGAAAGATACTATAATATTCTTAATCAAACCCAAGAAAGCTGACCACATTTTAAAAGTGCTATAAACTTCCTCAACAAATGAAAGTTTTTCTAACACTCAATAAATCGATGAAAATAACTAAATAATTAAATAAATCCTGTCAAACAAGCTAGATTTTGTTACAAAGAAATATTATATGACAGAGCTTAACAGCAACTTAATAGTGAGATCTAGAGCTGTGAATGTACAGAATCTTAAGTGTATGATATACCTGCAGACAAAACACTAATTTTCTCCTTCCTAGGTGAGGATTAGAAGACACCCAACATTAGAAGGAAGTTAATATCTACATCAGCTTTACAATGAATTAGTATTCTTTTCAAGTGTACAGAAGACCCAACAACATTAATTGATTTTCTGATTAATACAACAAGATAATTGATTTTTTTTCTTTTTCTATAATGAAAACCTAAGCTGAATCTACAATATTAAGAAAATATAGTCAGTGTGTATACACTTCAGACAAATTTCGCAGATAATGTGTAAGTTTATACCACAACACAAAATGCAGCAGCAAAGTTCAATAAAAGTGTATCTGATGGACATCAAACTAAAGTTTGGTAGGTTTGTAGATAAATTCAGAGTTCCAGTCACTCACTAATAATGAAACATAACCACATAGTACTTCATAAGATTCATAGCAGCAGAAATGGTTACTACAACAAAATCAGCTTAGCCTGGTCAAAGAGAATTACTAATTAGACGGAAAACCAGACATAATTTGGGGAAACGAGAAAAAAAACAAAAAAACCATAACAACAAAAATAAAAAAAAAGTACAGGTAGTTTATATATGTAAGTGATATCAATATTCTCTGGTTCATATGTAACCTTATTCAGTACCCAAACAATCAGGACCCAGGTAGGGTTTCTAATTTTGTATCATGTGTTCTAATTATTCTGTAACAAAGGAAGGCTATAAGAAAAGTAATGTTAAGTTTTTACATCGGAATGGAATCAATTTTCAGAGATAATTTCAGAGCTACAATGATTGCTTGGTCTGTGGATCGAATTGAAAGGAATCTGTGGTACATTTAGAGTTATAAAAAATACCATGTCTGTGCTGGGAGGTATCTGGGTATTCATAGAGTTATAACAAATACCATGTCTGTGCTGGGAGGTATCTGGGTATTCATAGAGTTATAAAAAATACCATGTCTGTGCTGGGAGGTATCTGGGTATTCATAGAGTTGTAACAAATACCATGTCTGTGCTGGGAGGTATCTGGGTATTCATAGTTATAACAAATACCATGTCTGTGCTGGGAGGTTTATGGGTATTCATAAAGTTGTAACAAATACCATGTCTGTGCTGGGAGGTATCTGGGTATTCATAGAGTTGTAACAAATACCATGTCTGTGCTGGGAGGTATCTGGGTATTCATAGTTATAACAAATACCATGTCTGTGCTGGGAGGTATCTGGGTATTTATAGAGTTGTAACAAATACCATGTCTGTGCTGGGAGGTATCTGGGTATTTATAGTGCTGGGAGATATCTGGGTATTCATAGAGTTATAACAAATACCATGTCTGTGCTGGGAGGTATCTGGGTATTTATAGAGTTGTAACAAATACCATGTCTGTGCTGGGAGGTATCTGGGTATTTATAGAGTTGTAACAAATACCATGTCTGTGCTGGGAGGTATCTGTTGTAACAAATACCATGTCTGTGCTGGGAGGTATCTGGGTATTCATAGTTATAACAAATACCATGTCTGTGCTGGGAGGTATCTGGGTATTCATAGAGTTGTAACAAATACCATGTCTGTGCTGGGAGGTATCTGGGTATTCATAGTTATAACAAATACCATGTCTGTGCTGGGAGGTATCTGGGTATTCATAGCGTTATAACAAATACCATGTCTGTGCTGGGAGGTATCTGGGTATTCATAGAGTTATAACAAATACCATGTCTGTGCTGGGAGGTATCTGGGTATTCCTAGAGTTATAACAAATACCATGTCTGTGCTGGGAGGTATCTGGGTATTCATAGTTATAACAAATACCATGTCTGTGCTGGGAGGTATCTGGGTATTCATAGAGTTATAACAAATACCATGTCTGTGCTGGGAGGTATCTGGGTATTCATAGTTATAACAAATACCATGTCTGTGCTGGGAGGTATCTGGGTATTTATAGAGTTGTAACAAATACCAGGTCTGTGCTGGGAGGTATCTGGGTATTTATAGAGTTGTAACAAATACCATGTCTGTGCTGGGAGGTATCTGGGTATTCATAGTTATAACAAATACCATGTCTGTGCTGGGAGGTATCTGGGTATTCATAGAGTTGTAACAAATACCATGTCTGTGCTGAGAGGTATCTGGGTATTTATAGAGTTGTAACAAATACCATGTCTGTGCTGAGAGGTATCTGGGTATTCATAGAGTTGTAACAAATACCATGTCTGTGCTGGGAGGTATCTGGGTATTTATAGAGTTGTAACAAATACCATGTCTGTGCTGAGAGGTATCTGGGTATTCATAGAGTTGTAACAAATACCATGTCTGTGCTGGGAGGTATCTGGGTATTCATAGTTATAACAAATACCATGTCTGTGCTGGGAGGTATCTGGGTATTCATAGTTATAACAAATACCATGTCTGTGCTGGGAGGTATCTGGGTATTCATAGTTATAACAAATACCATGTCTGTGCTGGGAGGTATATGGGTATTCATAGTTATAACAAATACCATGTCTGTGCTGGGAGGTATCTGGGTATTCATAGTTATAACAAATACCATGTCTGTGCTGGGAGGTATATGGGTATTCATAGAGTTATAACAAATACCATGTCTGTGCTGGGAGGTATCTGGGTATTCATAGTTATAACAAATACCATGTCTGTGATGGGAGGTATCTGGGTATTCATAGTTATAACAAATACCATGTCTGTGCTGGGAGGTATCTGGGTATTCATAGTTATAACAAATACCATGTCTGTGCTGGGAGGTATCTGGGTATTCATAGTTATAACAAATACCATGTCTGTGCTGGGAGGTATCTGGGTATTCATAGTTATAACAAATACCATGTCTGTGCTGGGAGGTATCTGGGTATTCATAGTTATAACAAATACCATGTCTGTGCTGGGAGGTATCTGGGTATTCATAGTTATAACAAATACCATGTCTGTGCTGGGAGGTATCTGGGTATTCATAGTTATAACAAATACCATGTCTGTGCTGGGAGGTATCTGGGTATTCATAGTTATAACAAATACCATGTCTGTGCTGGGAGGTATCTGGGTATTCATAGAGTTATAACAAATACCATGTCTGTGCTGGGAGGTATCTGGGTATTCATAGAGTTGTAACAAATACCATGTCTGTGATGGGAGGTATCTGGGTATTCATAGTTATAACAAATACCATGTCTGTGCTGGGAGGTATCTGGGTATTCATAGAGTTGTAACAAATACCATGTCTGTGCTGGGAGGTATCTGGGTATTCATAGAGTTATAACAAATACCATGTCTGTGCTGGGAGGTATCTGGGTATTCATAGAGTTGTAACAAATACCATGTCTGTGCTGGGAGGTATCTGGGTATTCATAGAGTTATAACAAATACCATGTCTGTGCTGGGAGGTATCTGGGTATTCATAGTTATAACAAATACCATGTCTGTGCTGGGAGGTATCTGGGTATTCATAGAGTTGTAACAAATACCATGTCTGTGCTGGGAGGTATATGGGTATTCATAGAGTTGTAACAAATACCATGTCTGTGCTGGGAGGTATCTGGGTATTTATAGAGTTATAACAAATACCATGTCTGTGCTGGGAGGTATATGGGTATTCATAGAGTTGTAACAAATACCATGTCTGTGCTGGGAGGTATCTGGGTATTTATAGTGCTGGGAGGTATCTGGGTATTCATAGAGTTATAACAAATACCATGTCTGTGCTGGGAGGTATCTGGGTATTCATAGAGTTATAACAAATACCATGTCTGTGCTGGGAGGTATCTGGGTATTCATAGTTATAACAAATACCATGTCTGTGCTGGGAGGTATCTGGGTATTCATAGAGTTATAACAAATACCATGTCTGTGCTGGGAGGTATCTGGGTATTCATAGAGTTATAACAAATACCATGTCTGTGCTGGGAGGTGTCTGGGTATTCATAGAGTTATAACAAATACCATGTCTGTGCTGGGAGGTATCTGGGTATTTATAGAGTTGTAACAAATACCATGTCTGTGCTGGGAGGTATCTGGGTATTTATAGCGTTATAACAAATACCATGTCTGTGCTGGGAGGTATCTGGGTATTCATAGAGTTATAACAAATACCATGTCTGTGCTGGGAGGTATCTGGGTATTCATAGTTATAACAAATACCATGTCTGTGCTGGGAGGTATCTGGGTATTCATAAAGTTGTAACAAATACCATGTCTGTGCTGGGAGGTATCTGGGTATTTATAGCGTTATAACAAATACCATGTCTGTGCTGGGAGGTATCTGGGTATTCATAGAGTTGTAACAAATACCATGTCTGTGCTGGGAGGTGTCTGGGTATTTATAGCGTTATAACAAATACCATGTCTGTGCTGGGAGGTATCTGGGTATTCATAAAGTTGTAACAAATACCATGTCTGTGCTGGGAGGTATCTGGGTATTCATAGAGTTATAACAAATACCATGTCTGTGCTGGGAGGTATCTGGGTATTCATAAAGTTGTAACAAATACCATGTCTGTGCTGGGAGGTATCTGGGTATTCATAGAGTTATAACAAATACCATGTCTGTGCTGGGAGGTATCTGGGTATTCATAGTTATAACAAATACCATGTCTGTGGAGGGAGGTATCTGGGTATTCATAGCGTTATAACAAATACCATGTCTGTGCTGGGAGGTATCTGGGTATTCATAGTTATAACAAATACCATGTCTGTGCTGGGAGGTATCTGGGTATTCATAGTTATAACAAATACCATGTCTGTGGAGGGAGGTATCTGGGTATTCATAGAGTTATAACAAATACCATGTCTGTGCTGGGAGGTATCTGGGTATTCATAGTTATAACAAATACCATGTCTGTGGAGGGAGGTATCTGGGTATTCATAGCGTTATAACAAATACCATGTCTGTGCTGGGAGGTATCTGGGTATTCATAGTTATAACAAACATTAGGTCTGTGGAGGGAGGTATATGGGGTATTCACAGAGATTCAACAAACATTAGGTCTGTGGAGGGAGGTATATGGGGTATTCACAGAGATTCAACAAACATTAGGTCTGTGGAGGGAGGTATATAGGGTATGTACAGAGATTTAACAAGCATTCGGTCTGTGGACACAAGTAGTTATTGTGGAGTATTTCATTTCCAGAATGACGGCTAGGTTGTTCAATTAAATGGGTATTAGAAATTATCCGTCATTATGTTAGTAGAGATGTAATGACCACTTGCCAAGCTGATCTGTGATTTACGAGTAGTATGGTTTTTATATATCACCAATTTTGGTCCAAATAAAAATATACTGCAATGTCCTCAAGTATGAGTTAGGATATCAGAGCACCAGGGACTGAATCAATGCTATAATGAATATATGATTTGTAACAAGCATGTTTAAGCACTTATGATCAATTTATCACAGAGAAAATTTCTGGTGTATATCAAAAAACTTCAGGCTACATTTGTCCTTGAAAAAACAAAATATTCTTTAATTATGGACAATTTTTCTTAATAAGTAGGAAAACTGAAACATTTTCAGATTGAAGTTAAGTTTCTACAATAAGCAATGTGGTCACATCATTTTAAAGTTCACCCTGACTTTCTCATTAAGATCAATGTATTCAGACAAATAAAATATAAGTATCAATAGTACTTACACATTCATAAATCCAGAATTTTAAGACATTCCCGATATCTCATATTTGATACTTTGCAAATTCCTCTAGGTTTCGATCCATAATAAAACATAGAATTTGATTAGTAAACTTCTAGTGACACTACTAATGTAAAAATTAGTCAATGGATTAAGTGTTCACGGTCAAATGAGAAATGGTTAAAACAGGTCTGTTAATCTGGGTAAACTTGTGTATAATGGCAGGACTTTAATCTGGAAAAACTCTCACTTCACCCTATCATAGACCAAGACTCATTTCTAAACTATGAAACTCACTTACACCTCACTCCACCTACCAATTGTTATGTGTATAATGTACAGTGTATATACTTGTTTAAGAATTCAATTTAAGTGGATTATTTCACACAAAACCTTAAGACATGCCATATCAACAGTATCAGAATTAAGCCTGACAGAGAATCCAGCTCTATCAATGATAAAGAATTCAGACATAATCTTTGCTGTGTAGCTTTTAACCTCTGGATTTATAAGAGTGTGGGTATAAAGCGGCAGATTTATTTAATCATTATCTGTGTGAACCTCTTTCACAATACACATGTAAATATACACAATTGACCTATGTCGGTGAAAACAAGATTTTGACAGTCCTTTACGTGATATGAATTTTAACATGCTGCAATTCCAATCTAACACTGTCCAGTAGCAAATCAACGACATGGTCAGAGAGATCATTGTGAAGGCGGCCATTTTTCAAGGAACGAATCAATATCTCCATTTCCTTTCATATTCTTGAAACCTGACCAACTGAAAAAAACTTAAGATCTATCAAAGAGAGAGGTTATGAGTGCCATTCAAAATAGAAAGAAGTTTATTGTTTTAAACACTGATTGACAGCAGCTTCTTGGCTCAGCAAGGTATTCTAAACCAAGTTTGCTAGTGTGGTGAAAGAGGGGAAGTAACTCCAGCTGCCATAGTATAAATAGCAGACTTCAATCAACTACGCGCTGCATTAAAACTGTCAGTTAAGATTTGACTTTGCAACCTCAGGTAAATATCTGATATGTGTGGTATGAAGATCCCTATTCAGGGCAGTGTTTGTATTTCTCAGGAAACAGAGAAATGGTTGTGTTCTCAGATCTTGTCTTTAGATGATACAAGGTAAATCACCAGCTACTACAGGTTGTGTTCTCAGATCTTGTCTTTAGATGATATAAGACAAATCACCACCTACTACAGGTTGTGTTCTCAGATCTTGTCTTTAGATGATACAAGGTAAATCACCACCTACTACAGGTTGTGTTCTCAGATCTTGTCTTTAGATGATACAAGGTAAATCACCACCTACTACAGGTTGTGTTCTCGGACCTTGTCTTTAGATGATATAAGGCAAATCACCAGCTACTACAGGTTGTGTTCTCAGATCTTGTCTTTAGATGATATAAGACAAATCACCAGCTACTACAGGTTGTGTTCTCGGACCTTGTCTTTAGATGATATAAGGCAAATCACCAGCTACTACAATGAGATCCAGCATCAAAATGACCCTGGTTGTTGACTACACAAAACCTCAATCACCTAGGTCAAGGAATTTTGTATTAAAGAAACATTTTGAAAACCAGACTTCAACAATCAAGGTCTCCCCCCGCCAGCTTACCTGTACACCAGGGAAACGTGTCCGTACTTTGTGAAGATGTTTTACGATCTCATCGAAATCTATGAACTTGAAATATATGTGAGTAATAGCAGCTGCAGCTTGCATGCCCCAATTCCTGTCCAGCCCCTCAAGAGACTTTGTCCCATATAAAGTCAGGGTGTCCCCTTCCAGGTCAGCCAGGTTATTTAATCCTCCACCCTGGTTTGTGTCCCCTTGCCTAAACAAAAAATATCACAAAATCATTAAACTTTTCCAATTTCTTAAAAATAATTTCACTCAAATTAGTATAATAGATATTTCAAAAAGTGTGTAAATATTCATCCCATAAAAACTTATCTTATTGTACAGAAAAGCCTGGTCTTATTAAACGATGATAATTGAGCATGTACAGAAAAGCCTGGTCTTATTAAACGATGATAATTGAGCATGTTCTACCATATCAACAGGATTATATATTCAAGATAATAAACTAAGCTGTTTCTCTGAAGTCTGAAAAGATCTGGATAGCAATTGAATTTGTGCTGAGATAAAGAATCTGTACCCAAATATGATTGTCTCCTTGAGTTGGCCACACTTCTGAGGGTCTGCTTTCTTGACACTGTTTGCACTGTTTGTACTAGTGCGAGGCCGGTCCTTGTTGCCCTCCGTGCCATCGTTGATGTTGCTACTCTGTGCACTACTAGGTCGACTACCACCTCTACTACTGTACTTCTCACTGGAGTAAAAAAGCAAATTGGATACAACATCTACTTCATTAAGGGCGTTCGATACATCAAACATGCGTATTTCAATATTATCTAATATTTTTTTGCTTTTAGAATAAGCTATCCAGCATATTCCCCCACCCAACTTCGTTAGAAATTTTGTTTTTCTGCGATATTTTCTTTCTGTTTTGGAATAAATTGGCTAATGTTCATCAATTTCCCCTATCATTTCCTACATCACATTTCTACCACTATCTTCCCTGACTAAATGACTAGCTGCATAATTGTACTATTCACCCTTTTTAATGTTCCCTCCCCTAGGAATCCTCAGGTAAGTGACTAGCCATTTGTCTCACCTAATGAAACTGCTAAATTACATCCTAATACCCTCCTCCAGCAATCCCTATCCCGACTGATTGGCACGTTGAATCCTAAAACATTTTGATAAGTTTTTTTTTTCTTCTTTACTTTCTGTTCTGCCCTTGTCCTCCTCAAGCTGATTGGCACCTGATTATAAACAGTTGAACTTACCTATGTACAGATTCAAGGTCAAGGTTTTCCTCACTGAAGGTCATGGGTTGGACGAGATCCGAGTTAGGGACAGATCCCACGTGGTTGGCATAGATGTCTGGCATTTTTACCATCTTGCCCGTTCTGTTCATCATGGTACCCTGCATCACCTCCCACTGTCTTTTCGCATTGTTAATGGCGATTCTCTTCTTCTCCTTAAATGTGTAAATATATGTATTGTGTTATATTTCCTAGCTTTACATTGTGTTTATGAAAATATGAAAGAATTATTAAGGTCGAAGCATGTCATATTCTTTTTACTTAACAAAGATTTCAATTTTTTATCATTTCACCATTTTCTTGGAAATCACCAAAAATTGGAGACTTAATTTTTTTAGCTCAAAATAAAATGTTCAATTCATTGTAAATATGGTATGTTCATGTAGAGCTGAGAGCCAGTCATGACAACCATCAATTCCATGGGGGTAGTGATTTTAACCTTTGGTAAAGGTTTGTGGTTTTGTAGTTTGATCCCTAAATGGGGTTGGTTAGTGTTTGTCAGTGATGGTGTACTTAGACAAGACACTTTTACCGAGTTGCTCTACATGGCATGTGATGGGCCTCCAGTATGTTGTTCAGTGTGGTTATAGCCATCAGCTGCTACAAGATGACACTGTCTCGACAGGTCAATAAACAAAGCAAAGCATAAACTATGCAATCTCACTCTGTAGCTAGACATCATTCTATTCACCATTACCTATTTCCAGTCTGTGTTTTAGGAGATGCAATGGTTATTTTATAGAGATTTCCCCTGAAATCTCATCAACTTACAATGACGCCAATTTCACTGGGGTTATCCTAAGATATAAACTTAAATATGAACTTTCATGACTTAACACGAACAAATTTTACCAACTTCTACTAATCACTCTTGCTGGCCAAGATGACAGTATGTAGGAGGGGTCTTACTTTAGGAGGAAACCGGATTGCCCAGGGAACCCCAAGTGGTCAGGCAGTTGAAGCCTTTCCACAATTGATCAGATTTGAGAGATATATCTGCTTTTATTACATATTTATGCTAATTGGAAGGGTTGTCCAATGAAAGGTCAGCAGATATGTGTGGATTCTCCGTATCATGTCCATTTTCCATTCCGTAACTCTGACCTCAGATTCTGTATCTTTGGAATACCATATTCATCATCTTCTATATATTTCTTTGAAACTTTGATAATCATGAAGTAAATTAAATCATAATTATATCAACTTCAACTCAAAGATTTATATAGTAGTAGTGATATCTCCACTACTACACAAGTCCTAAGTTTTGAATTGCTACATTGTCCTGAAGACAGCATACTTTGTATGCAGAAGCATGTCAGCTATTAAAGTTTGTTGATATCTTCCAATGGATGTTGTCTAATCATCCTTATCTTCAACTTTTAGTTCCTTTTTTTAACTGGACTGGTATTTCGAAGGAATCCATTTGTGGAGGGCTTATACAATCCTGTATATATTAAACCTGAAGTTGAATCTCTTTTTCTTTGTATTGTTTAACACAAAGAGTTAGAATTGCTTTTTACAGTAAAAAAACAAATAGAAATTATTCAATTTGGTGAAAATTAATTCCTCACAAATCGACATCTATAAATGAAATCATTTCCAAAATAATCAAAATTATTTAAACCAATAAACAAGTATCAGAGAAGTTACAGTCAAAGGGAAGTAACTCTGGTGTAACCAACAACCAAATCTAGACTGGCCTGGTTAATTGGCAGTGTAACTTAAATTAGTGAAAATAGTTCAGAAGTATTAGTAAAAGAAATCTTCCGAGTTCTACAATATTAATTTCTTATCTAAAAGTTGTAAGAAAATGATCACCAAAATAGAGATAAATGTAGGTTCAAAAAGAATATTGATAAAATCCAGAGTACAAGGTTTATATTTAAAATTTGAAAATAAATGTTTAACAAATGATGTAAACTTACAGACTTGAAACCAAACGAAATCCAATGAGTAATAATTCAGCAAAACCACAACATTATAAATATGGGTGGGGGGAAATAAAATGAAGATGAATTTTTCTACACAATTATATAAAAATATATCATAAATGTTAATAAATTTACCAAATAAGGTATCTGAAAAACAAACATTAAAAACCCAATTGATATTCAAATAAGTGTAATGTTGGGGATCAGAATTACAATACACTGATGTTTTACTTAAACTTGGACAAGTTTCTATTTCATATGAAGTTTCATTCAAAGTTTTGTTTAAAATCCATTTCATACCAAACTAATGAGACAAATTTTTGAAGTTTTTAATTAGATAAGCCATTGAGTACTTAATGATTAAAAAATCCATGACTTAACTGTCATATGATATGGATTATACTTTTCTGTTGATTAGAAAACCAAAATATTTCATTTTCACCTGAATGTACCATTCTATTAGGCTGATATCAAATTCTAAAGTGATCCCATTTTCCTTCAATATACATTGGACAAAATAAAGATGTCACATCCAATTTAAAAACTATGGCAATCTTTTCACTATAAAACACAACTGAGGTATAAGGAAAACATTTGTAATTTAGCAGAGCATTTTACTTTCTTTTCAATTATAATGCTTTGAGTTACACATTAAGTGTCTAAAATAAAAATGAAAACAAAGTGAGGGCTATCGTTAGTGCTATGATCTATAATCACACCATGCTGATGAGCCAGGTACAGCCATGCTTGTTACGGATACAGCGCGACCCTGCGGATCAGTAAGTGTGTATGCCTACCGTGATAGGAGGAGCACTCTGGACTATGGGTGAGGAAACTACCTTCAACACTGCTGCCTTGCTTCCTTCCCGTTTTTTCTCCTCCTCCTTTCTCGCCATCACCAGTGCAATCCGTCGCTCCTCCTCCTAAAAAAAAAAAAAAATCACAGATGAATTTAATTAATCTAATTATGAATCATAAAAATATCTGAAATAGTTAATCACAGGCTTAGTCTTATACACATGTTAAAACATTTTATTGAATGATAATTTCAAGAAACATTGTAAACAAACAAAAATATTAGCAACAAATTCTACGTATCTAAGTATTTATCATGCTCTGTGGCACAACTATTTACAAAACACCTGTTCACTAGCTACCCGTTTGCACTGTAGGTTCAAGAGGAGCTTCCCTTTGAGATTGCGCTGCAACATGCAGGAAGTCAAATTAACAGGCGCAGACGAGGTAATTGTTAGGTACATGGTATTGCAAGTCTGGCCTGGTCCAGAACAGAAATCCTGTGTCCAAATTTGTCAAAATAGTGACAGAGATTAAAATTCTTATCAAGTTCATTACGATAAGAACATCACATAGTCTCTAAGTCTTTGGTAAATATTGAATATATCCCAATATCCTGACACATGTCTGGTAGTCAAACTACCACCCGCTGGAGACCCTGTCCAGAAATATACGATCGCTCTATGAGAGAATACATTTATAATGAATATGCTGATCTAATATTACAGTTTCGGGTGTCATTGGCCGATCATTAACCGACTAACATGAGCCGATAGCTCAATAGATTTAACAGGCTTTAACACAATACAAAGGCAGGGCCAGACCGACACAGCCACATATAAATATATATCAACTTCACATAATTTGCTATATAAAACACCTGTGTCTACTTTAATGTCATTCAGTTAACTTCTGCAGTTTAAAACTGATTTCAGGAATATAAATGACCCTTCCCAGTAAAATCCTCCAGCCTGATTCCATTAATTTGCTTAACAGATATTTCAAGATTCTTTATATTCTACACTTTTTGAAATTTCAGCTTGCTTAAATCAAACTTTTTCTATCTATGGGATCATAACTGTGCTGAGTAATACAGGTATAGAATATGATTTAAGTATTTAAAACAGACAAAAAATTTCTAAAAAATGAGGAAAAAAAGATTGATTCAAAGTTAATGTCCTGTCATTGATTATCAGCTATTTAGGTAAATATCTTAGATACTTAATGAGTAAACTGACAAACTTATTTCTGTCTTTATGATTTCAAAAAAAAAATCAGGCATGAACATGGTCAGACATTTCATTGACATGCCTACATACACGGCAGAGCAATAAACACACAGTTGTTATTTATCTCGATTAGGAAAGGCTATTACAGCACAGCAGTCAGTATAACTCTACAATTTTGTTTTTATTTGAAACTGAAGGCCTAACCCTGGAAGAATTATAATCAGAAATATTAGCTTTATTCTGTAGCTAATTCATTGAAGACAACTAATTATGATAAAAAAGATAAAAGAATTTTTTTTTTTTTTTTTGAGTTTTAAAAATTATGATAAGTTAAAAATATTGGGCTTTACAATCTTAACAAATACAACTGAAGACTTTTGTACATAACAATTGTTTCACAAAATGTGAACAGGTGAAAATACAAGAACCAGGGTGAGGCCTTCAATCATACGAAGCCAGTAATGTTAAATGCTGTCATGTCTAATTAACATCCTTATCTGAGCAAACTGCATCACAAAACCTGTACATACAACAATATATGATATGTATAGTGGAGAAGAAAGCATGGGTATTAGGCCAAGGTAATCAAGTTCTAGTAAAGGTAGGGTATTGGAACACAATAATACTCAAGCAAATATGAAAACATTATCAATTCATATTCATATTAACAGTCAGCTTCATACTTCTAATATTTTGGAGGGGAGGGGGAAACATTAAGGTATGATTTTTAAAAAATTTGAATTCCAGTATAAGATTCAAAATTTTGTTTCTAGGGACTTCCAAAAACATTTTTCCCAATTCATTACTCTAAAATTCAAAAATGTTTTGTTTTCCTTAAGTTTAAATCAAATAATATGTTAACTAAAATCACAATTTTGAAACCTTAGTAATATCTTGATTAAATAGTCACTTAGCAGTCTGTTAAGCTAAGATGGTGGTAAAGTTATCGCTACACAGCGGTCAGTTCAAGCTAAGATCCAGGTAAGTTGAATTATCCACAGCAACAGACAAAGTTATATATTACCCGTCCCCTGAGGGGGAGGATGTTCCCCAGCGGGGCGGAAGGGTAGGGGAGTGAGGACAAGGGTTCGGGATGATGGTAGCCGCTGGGGATCACTGTGTGGGTCGCTACCTTTGGAAACACGCAATAAGATGCCTGTGGGTAAAGCAAAGTCACATACCTCATCATTTTAATGTCTTTATACACCTGTCTAATACGACTCTAAGGAACCTATCTTAACCATCTACATATTTCACCTGTCTAAACTGACTCTAGTGAACCTATCTTAATTACACATTTCACCTGTCTAAACTGACTCTAGTGAACCTATCTTAATTACACATTTCACCTGTCTAAACTGACTCTAGTGAACCTTTCTTAACCATCTACACATTTCATCTGTCTAAAGCGACTCTAGTGAACCTTTCTTAACCATCTACACATTTCACCTGTCTAAACCGACTCTAGTGAACCTTTCTTAACCATCTACACATTTCATCTGTCTAAAGCGACTCTAGTGAACCTTTCTTAACCATCTACACATTTCACCTGTCTAAACTGACCTCAAAGAACACCTGTAGTACGCAATGACTAGTGAAACCTGTCTAAACCAACCAACAGTAAAATCTGCCTTAACTTACTGCCAGTAAACCTGTCTTAACTAACTCCCAATGAAATCTGTCTTAACTTACTGCCAGTAAACCTGTCTTAACTAACTCCCAATGAAATCTGCCTTAACTTACTGCCAGTAAACCTGTCTTAACTAACTCCCAATGAAATCTGTCTTAACTTGCTGCCAGTAACCCTGTCTTCATTACCAACAGTAAAATCTGTCTTAACTTACTACCAGTAAACCTGTCTTAACTAACTCCCAATGAAATCTGTCTTAACTTACTGCCAGTAAACCTGTCTTAACTAACTCCCAATGAAATCTGTCTTAACTTACTGCCAGTAAACCTGTCTTAACTAACTCCCAATGAAATCTGTCTTAACTTGCTGCCAGTAACCCTGTCTTCATTACCAACAGTAAAATCTGTCTTAACTTACTACCAGTAAACCTGTCTTAACTAACTCCCTATAAAATCTGTCTTAAGCAACAAACAGTAAAACCTGTCTAAAGCAACTGTTTTCATTAACAATAGTAAAACTGCCTTAACCAATTCCCGGTAGAACCCATCTTGACCGACTCCCGACAAATGAATCCCAGTAAAAACTTGTCATAAATGACTCCCAACAGAACCTGTTTTAAATGACTCCCATCTGTCTTAACCATTCATAAGTAAAGTCCGTCTTTACTGACCACAAGTTAAAGCTGTCTAAACAGACTACCAGTAAAACCAGATTAATTTGTTCTTAAGTTGTGCAATGAGACTGATATAGAAATGAACACATATTTCAATTACTATTTCTGACCTTGACCTTTGTTGGTAATCTGAGCCTACAAGACATACATGATGTTGCAAAGTTTGCTGAAATTTGATTGGTCTGAAGGATCTACAGCCTGATTCAGTAGAATCTACAATCTACTCCTCTGATATATAATGTTAGAATGAAGAAAACATGACATTGTTGGTCATGTGACTTTTTAATCCAGCCAATCATTTCTTGTCATTAAACAAGCAGGTGTAGATCCTAACACTTTGGTTTCTATAAAATACAATCAAATTTAGGACCAGTAGAAAAGCTACATACCTCACCCCTGCCATAACAAGAACTCAAACAAGTCACAAACATGTTAAATTCCATCCACCAATTCTTAGATGAAGTTATACCATCCCAAATTACTAGATCATTGTACTATTAATCAAGAGAACTGGTAGTTGACAATTTGTTTTCAAGACAGAGTAATTACAGTCAATCTTTGTTATAATAAAACTTTCAGGAATCAAATGCTGCATTTAACTCAGAAAGTTATATCTATCTCAGCTTGAGAAAGCTAGCTTTTTTTAAAAATAAAATTAGACATCCTGAAATGAAATGTTTTCTGTGTACACAACTATCCATGATCTCTGAGAATCAGCTGTACATCAAAACTGGTTCTTGTTTGGCAAATTTTTCACAAAAAGATTAAATAATTACTTCAAAGTGCAGTAAAAGTCAGATTAAAATCAATTAAACTTATATATCATCTAGATATGTACTTGAGGCTGAAACCTTTTTGGTGAAATCAAATTCACTGCATCTGATTCACAATACTGTAGAATCATTCATTTACATGAGCGTTTTATTTTCACTAATTTTGTTGGTATGCTTATTCCATGAATTCATTTCAGTAATAATGAATTCATATGTCCACGAACTATCAAAATTATTATAAATAGATTTCTAGAGCTATATTCATTCTTAAATTTAGGTGAAATAGTAGTTAAAAAAACTAAGAAAATTGAACCACATGAGAGTATATAAGATTTAACATTTCTTTGAACTTTCTTTGCCTTTCATTGATTCCTAAAAAATTGTTTGATACTACAAAACAACTAACCTTTTTCACTCATAATAAATCATTTAAACTTCAATACCGAGTTTGTTACTCAATAATCTTAAATAACTTTTTCTTCACAATCATTTGGAGATAACAAAGTTGACTGTAATTACAAAATTAATTACTACACTAATGTGAACTGACACCATCCCATAACTTTAGTTCTAACTTGTTAATGAATTAATGTGTCTATATTCTACACCAGCACCTTAATACAACAACGACAAATTTTTGTCAAAATCCTCAACATGTAATTCATAAATACAATAATATGACCATTTCACATCTTTTCTACATCTCAATGAAGTACTGAAATCCTAAATGCTGTCACACCTGATTAAGGTATATATATGATGTATATTTCCAGCTGTTTTATATCAAATTACACACCAAATTTTTGGCTTCTTCTTCATTTATTTTTTTACCTGCTTAAAGATCCTGTGAAACATTAAAATATTACAAATAATCAATCTATATTTGATTTTTCTGTGTTTGTCAAATAAAAACTGGGAAATTTACATTCCAAAATACTGACATGATGCTCTGCTCAATAGCCTTTCCTTGTAACATACATTATACTCTTCATAATCCTTAATTACAACTTCATAATCAGTGCTCGTTATTCCTTAAATATGACACATTATTTGTGCCTTTGTGCCATAATGACCTGACTATCATACTTTGATGTTAACCGACTCCTGTAAAAGGAAATAAATGGATAACATATTGGATGTTATAGATGTTACCAAAACTGCATCCGTTAGGATTTTGAGTTTTGTCCATAGTTTTCAACATGTAGTGTAACTGTTTATAGATGTTTTGAGTTACCTCCCTTTTCAGCATTTGGATGATGTACCTTATGTTTTGCTATGATTACCAGAGCCATTGAGAATGATCACTGTTGGTTTCATTTTTTTTCTTCTCTTTTTTGTGTTAAATGTTAAATTTCAACAGTTACATATGGAAATGCTAAATATAACATTTGTTTTCATCATTTAGAAACAGAGTGTCACAATGAACACTTCCCATAGCTGTTGTTTTTAGAAACTGATAGGGTACTTCATGTAATGTAACTATAATTGGTTTTAAGAAGATTAAAAATTCTGGTGTAATGTGTGCAATTTGAATATTTTAAATGCATGGTTAAAAACACTATGTCAAGTGTAACATATACAGTAAGCAGTCTTGTTTTGATACTCTGTCGTTCAGCTTTTTGTTTACCTGTATTTGTGCCAATACTGTTGGGGATTAAAATTATCATATTGAAATTCTATATCATAAATATTCATTTTATTTCATGTTTTACAATTGGACGACAATGAAAATCAGAACATCAGTAATACATTATTAATCAAAAAGTGAACAAAATTATCTTATTCAATATATTGTGGAAAATTTCATGACCTTTAACACCTTACATAAAATGTTAACTATCTTTGAACTCCTGGTTCCTTACATAATATAATTGTAGTTTGCACTGAACTTAAGGCTATATGCTACCTTACTTATTTTCAATTTCAATAGAATTAAAGTCATCTTCTTTAAGGATGAATGCTATTGTAAACATTATATGTTATTTTTTATTGACTTAAGGCTATATGCTACCTTTCATACTGGTGATTTGTGTAAGTACTATTGCTCCTTTGAATTGTGCTGGAGTTATCTACAATAATGACTGATTACCACCAGTTTTCTACACATCAGATTTAAAAAAAAATTATTTCAAAACACAGGTCAAAGATCTTCTCTGACAAAATGCATGAAACTCTAAATAGAAAATCAAAATGTTTGACTGACCGTCACACGCTTCATGTCAAGCTGTTTGAGCTGTTGCATGTGCCGGAGGACGATCTGTTTGTAGTATTGTTCCTGGGTGATAGGGTTGCCATCGAGAGTGATCTCTGACAGGCTGTTGGAGTCGCCAAGACATGCGATATCCTCGAAACTGTAAAACATAAAAATGATATTATGAAATTTTTAAGCAGAAATTTCAGCTATTAAATCTTCCAGAGACAAATCTGTATTAAGTTTTGCAAAACTGATGCAAATTTTTACCGGACCATGATACCTTGTTTGCTTGGTTTATGATCCCTCCCCCGACCCCCAACAAACAGCCACCAGGGACATTTTAGTCCATCCAAGAATTGATAAAAGACTTAGATATAACTGACAATGACACAAACAACTAGTAGCAAAAATTAATAAATTTTCATGCTGATTCTGGAGTCAAAATTCAGCATATCAAATATACACAATTGTAAATCAAAGTGAGAGATGAGGGATGATATTTTGTCAACATAAGTGAGGGATGACAGATATGTTTGGGACAGAAAAGTATACAACTTTACATATTTTCTCCATTTCAACACGTACTGAAAAAAGAAGTGTGTTTATTACAATGATGATAATATCCAATATCTAAACAGCCATCAAAGCATATCCAGTAAATATTACAAGTTTCTATATCTCTCAAATAAACTTGTTAGACCAATGACCAGCAACCAATATCAAAACCAATGGGAAAAATGATTAACAGAATTCAAGTTCAAACAAGATTTTAAGATTTCATAAATACCTGTACATTTTAAAGCATATTTAAATTGAAAATATTTAAATTTAAAAACATGTTTGTTGAAAACACAAAACCAAGGACATACACATGTAATCGAAGTGTCTTCAAGATCATGTATCCAATACTGAAAGGTCATTTACATCCAGTTATAACTGGTAGAATATACGGCATATACAACTCAACATCTTTATATAGACATTTGTATTAAATAATTTTGATTCCATACTTTCGACCCGTGGCCTCACTGACTAATTATAAAACAATAAAACAGCTGATTGATGCACTTTACTTCCTTAATTGACAACCATACTGTGACTCATAATAAATTTGTATTGAAAGTTGGTGTGTGTCTTTTGTATAAGCTTTATAACACGCCTTGGCTCATCAACTGTAATTCAAAGTACGGAGTGAGATTACTCCAGGACTTACATAATGTAGTTAACAAAATAAACAACAATACACACGGGTGGGCTTATTAAGAGACATGACATTATTGCTGCATAAATATAACAACTTACTATTCGGAAGAGCGGCAATCCTTCAACCTGTGGCGATATTTTCGGTAATGCCACATTGTTCTTTATCATAATCCAGTCAAGCTCACAAAATAGTGATAGTTCCTGACACTCGAATACAAATATTATTAACTTAAATTCAATTTCTCTTATATCATAACTACATCCTGGAACATTTTATAAATAATCTTCAAGTGAAATTGACGTCAAAATTCAGATGACCCATCAATGTCAAAAACTCCAATATATGTCACTGATAAAAGTTTGCCTCCTTAGTTAAGTAAATCTGAAATGAATTTTTATATCAAATTCAATTTCAGAGCGAATTCACCAAAAATGTTTGAATTAAAGATGACAGTCACTTCAATTGCCTTCAAAGTCCCAACAGAACATATATATTGCATGATTGCTAGTTATTCCAATTTCTCACAAAACGAGCAATCTAAGGATCATGTTTTACACTGTATTCTGGACACACCTGAAAATACCCAGTAGTCCACTTTTAGATGAGTGAAGTATCCAGCTGTTTACTTTAAGTGAAATGAACACTTTAAATCCTATTATGTATGTTTGTTTACAAATATTTACCAACCATTACAAACATACAAACAAACATCAAAATGCTTTTCACTGCAGGCAATGCTTTCACCAAATTCACCTCGTATCTAGCATACACCTTTAGACTTCATGAAATCTTCTTTTTCAATGCATCATGCTGTGTATCGTAACTCAGTATCTTAAAAAAGATATTTCCATATCTAAATTAAAAGTCACTGGTACCGATAAATTTTTGCATTTACTTAACATTTTCAATTTCGTTCATCAACTCTGGAGAAAGTCCTCTATGCATAAAATATCCATTTTAACTCAAATGGTGAAATCTGAGGCCAATATTGCACCTTGTTATACATGCACCTCATACATCTGGGAAGATCACTCTTACTTTGGAGTGTTTAAATTCGATTCAAGAATATTTGCACAAACGACTAAGTCAGAGTCTTAACAAGGAAAGATTTACTTGTCAAACAATGATGTCATAATATCTCCACTGTGGTTTAAATCGTACAAGATTTTTCTGTCACTGCCGATATCATTCCACTGTCAATAATCTTATTGACTTATATAATACAGGTATATCAACCATCCAATAGTTCCAGGAATATCCTTAGCAATCAAGATATGGTGCATTTCTCAATCGGAAGCCGACAAAACATATCCATTACCAAGGATTAAAGTTCTTCTTTAAAAAATAATACAGATATCATGCAAATGTTCTATTTGTTTATCACTTCACAAAAAGATGAATATGTTTGAAGAAAGCACTGTTACAAATTCAAACTTTTGATGTGTTCTGTCAGTGATAAAAAATTCATTCCTACCCGCCAGATTTACTGATCAAATTAATCCTTGCCAATGATTTATCTGACAGGTTTACATACAAGTTGTCTGAAATACCACATTGTTTTCAACACGACATCAGGTTTAAGAAATTCAATTTGAGACATCGACCAAGCTGTATCTAGCGCCTTGACAGCTTTCCTATGATACTTCTCAAACAATTTCAGGCACGTAAAATCCTACGAGATTGTCACTTGACAGAAGGGCCGTTATTTTAGAAATAATGTCAACATAAAAACTAACAATGTCGGCCTTCAATCATCTAAAAATCCAATAAAGAAAACCATTCCTTCCTTTTAGTTAATCCTGATCGTCCATTAACATGGGTTTGACAAGCCCCTGTAAATGTAACCATCGTTGTTGGTGATGATTGTTGAAATCATTTTACAATAATCACAGAAAATCACACCTTTTACATCAATTATGAAAACGGAGTAACAACCATTGATACACAATAATTCCACACACTGTAGAAAGTACCAAATAAAAAATATCCAATTTCCTGTTCTTTTTCAATTTTACGGAAACAATAAAGAAATCCACATCTGGTTTAGACATCCAGAATTTCTCTTGTATCATTTCCTCCATCCGTCACCAGTCATGATTAATTCATACATTTTGTAAATGACACCTGGTGGAGTTTTATAAACACAATTTGTGTCCACAAATAATTTATTGATATATTGAACTAATTTTATTAAAAGTCTTGCGGTACTTGATATGCCAATTAATATTTCAAGGATTCCAGATTATTGCCAATTAAATGAAGTGTAAAAAACTGAGCATGACGTCCAATTCAACTCCAAAATCAATGAAGGACAGCTCAGAAAGTCTGTGTGTTGTTTTGTATAGTGTAGCCTTGCTATGTACAGACATTGAAGGTTTTATATCCAGGACAAATTGTATCCTTGATATATTTGCTGTGGTCTAATTACATGTGTCCAACCATGAAACTTCCAATCATTCCTTTCAGTGACATAAAGTAAAAACTTCAAACACCACTTCAACAACCTATCAATTCTGATACAAACCCGCTGTCACCATAAACGGTATTTCATCAGTCATAATCTTACAGTCACATTTTGATATCCTTGACACAAGCCACGTTTAAAAATATATTCTTTTACTATTTTTAGCGGTAAGATCTCTTCCTTGAAGGGCATCCACTTGAACATTTCCCAAGTTTCAAGTGGAACTCTGATTTTACGTTGATAGAAAACGATCAGACTTTCTATCAACCTGGTGGACATTCGATAAGTCTATCGTGTTATTTTTTAAAATTTCTATCAAAGTAAATATTCGCAACGTAGCAAATAACCAGGAGAAATGTTGACATAACAGATGGTCAAGTGTTCAATAGGAACCAAGATACACAATAAGTATCCGCTTAATTCCAACACAGGCACAAAGTGGAAACGTTTGTCTGTGTATTGAGAAGCTTGGCCAAATATTAGAGACCATTCAATAGCGGCATTAATGTCGATCTCCTTAAAAACACTAAACAAAATAACCAGCAGGCCAATAAACTTGTTGCAGTTGAAAAGTTGCAATCGTTTGTTGTTACAAGCCCAACACTGCTGTGCAATCTTCATATTAACTTTTACATAAGCTGAAAAACACACTTTACATACCAGTACATTTTCCAAACCATCAGATTTCAAAAATATAATATAAATATCCATACAAAATATTCAACTAATTTGTGTCAATTATCATTTTTAATGTATTTATTAAGTTGACAATGGCATACCTAGGTTTAATAAACTTCTCTTGAACCATTAGATCTTCATTCATTTGAATTCTTTTTTTTTCAAGAAATTGAAAAAAAAATTGACTGTAAGGACAGAACTTAATGAACATTAAATTCATGGCTCCACAAATCTTTTATACACAGTGGTATAAGGATTTTGTCAATATGATTCAAGTCTTTGTCAAATAATTCTATCGTGATTAAAGATCTGGGCTTACAGCTCTCTATACATATATATAATAACAGAGAGATGGATAATTGAATGAATTAAAGGTGAAATATTTCATAAAGTAAAATTCCTAATGGCACTTATTATATACTTCTTTGAGGATCACATAAAATTTTAATGACCATTATTCCAAGCCCTGTTATTAACCTTTGAAGCTTATTGCATATACATGATTAAGTTTTCATTCTTAATAAATTAGAACAAAATTTAAAGAATTTTGATTAAAATATGGAAAGTTTTGTGGAATATTTCATCAACTGACAATCAATTACCTTCATTTTCGATAAAACTGACCCTAATTGATGTGTTGTTGTTCATCAAACTATCGTGAGTAATACACCATTGTATGTCATATACCATCAAGCTATCATAAGTAATACACCATTGTATGTCATATACCATCAAACTACTATAAGTAATACACCATTGTATGTCATATACTCTCAAACTATCATATGTAATACACCATTATGTAATATAC